TCTTCAACCACTCCAGCCTGCTTTCTTTACCCTCCAAGATTCGCCAGCTAGTTGGGCAAAAAAGCCTATCTAGCAAAATGGCCTCCATCTAGAACAGGGAGGCAAAGATCACTTCCACCATTCATCTTGCTCTGCATTATATACCTGTGGGATCCAAGCCTTGGGGCTTATGGGCAACCTGAGAGAATTGCTCCTTTAAAGATTAATTTAAACAAATATACCCACTTGTCAGTGACAGATAACAGCGAAAGAGACTTGCCAAGGATGTGGAATTCTCAGGGGCCAAATCGGTCACAAGAAGAGGGGGATGATCTAGCATCATTTCTCCCATGTCCCACTGTCATTATGTGGCACATTTCCCTGCCAGCAAGGGACAGAGAAATGCACAAGGTGCAGTGAAATGAGGATGCACAGTTAGGAAGGAGTGGATAGAATTGAACTTGGGAATGCTGTATTCAGCATTGGTTCCAGTGTTAGATGTTATGATCACTTGAGCATAGGCAATTACTCCATTAAAAGACTGGCAGTCACTGCTCAAATTGAATGAAGTCTGTAGAGTACAAGAAACTATAAACAATTTGTATCATGTTGAATAATGTTGCCTCTTTGGAGAAACTAAATATTTTAGTTGCTTCCCCCATCGCTTCCCCTTCCATTGCTCTTAAAGTTCTCAAGGAGGTAATTTCATACATTCTTTTTAAATGAAAAACAGAAGAGTGACATTTTATCAAGCACCAAAGTCAGAGAAAACATTGCAAAAGTTTCAAAGCCGCTCAACGGGATGTAATTTAAGCTTCTCAGGAATGTTCACTGACTACTGAGTGCAAAATATGTTCACTGCTGGGGTCAAGAATGGGAGGCATGTGTTGCAGTGTCATTTGCCACCTTTGAAAACAGTTTGGAAGTTTATGTGGTTCAAAATGCAGCCACATTCTTATTAGCTGGTGGGAGCATGGGAGTACGTACGCTGAAATAATTGCACTGGCACCCAAGTCACCTCCGAGGAGAAGTCAGAGTTCAAATTTAAACCTTCCAGGTTGTCTGGGGTATCTTTGAGAGTATATGGGCTTCCACATTTCCTAAGGATCGTACTGGAGGCCTTATTCCAGGTCTTGTCTTTTAACAGAAGAGTGATAGTTGAAGAAGAATTAGCTAGAATGGAGTGGACAACTTCCTGAGAGTGAGATGGGAAGCTGCAAAATAGCCTTTTTAAAGGGTGAAATCTCAGTTTGTCATCAAAATTCAGCAGAACAACAGTTTCTATTTTGGGCAGCAAACTGCGTTTTATCCAATAGAAAAGGTGCATTTGCAGCCTATTTGCTGCTTCTGAGCCAGCAAATTTCAGTTGTAGTGGGTTAGGGTTAGAGCAGTGGTGATAACACAAAGAAGTCAAGTGGGGGTCATACAGTCCACAGGAATGAGGGTTAAAAATAAAGCAAAGAGCAAGACAAATGCCTGCTAGCACACTGTCTCCCTGGGTCTGTTTCTCCCCCTTAGCTCTGCCCTACAATATTGGTACATCTGTTTGCTTGCATCTGTGATGCTAATTAATACACCACCATACATTTTTTGTATTAGCTTCTCTGGATTTTGGGCTCTCAATGTTTTCCGTACAACTTGGCATACTTAGGACGAGCGAACATTTGGGCGCATGCATAGTTTATATTGTGAATAATAATAAGTTCACAAATATTTCATGGGGTAATAAATGAAGGCACAAATATTTCATGGGGTATATGCCAGTGGGGGAGAGGAATTAATTCTATTGTTGGAATAGTTGCTTCAACACAATTTCCAGATGTGTTTCATTCTGTCTTATTAAAAATATGCAGCTGCTAGTATTAGAACCTTTAAAATGGATACTGAGAGAATTTAGATGTTGGGGGAGCTGTGGCACGAGGAACACCTGCTTTCTGAGACATGAAAATGGTTTATCTAAGGTGGCACAATTGCTAATCCTAGTATTTTTTTATATAGCGGTGCAGATTAACATATTACTTCACAAATTATTTTGTACGAGCCATTGCAAAGTGAAAGGCAAAACAGTAGTTTTCCATAGCATGTTACAAGGCTCTGGAGCTGCACATTGTTATGTAATTCATTATCAAAAGTATTGGATTACTTGGTAGCACTACCAGCACTTGTTTTGTCTATTTGTTGCATTTGCAATAGAGATCCTCATGACAGCCCTCAAAGAAAATTCGGGGATTAATGTTACATCTGTGGAAATTGGCATTATTTCTAAGTCTGTAATAATTCAAGAGAAAGAAGACTCTGCTTTGTGTGTGTGTGTGTGATATATATCAGACTTTTTCCCAAGGCAGCATATAAAACACACGCTAAAGTCTGGTGTGGTAGTAAACATAGTAAAACACAGTGAAAACATCAATAGCAGCAAACATTCTTAAAACAACAAGCACTATAATATAGCTTATCAGAGACCAATGGAGCTGTAACCTACAATGTAACTGGGAGAAGCCCAGAGTAAAGTAGTCAGTTTTCAGGACCTTCTGAAAAGCCTGCACTCATGGGCCTGGCAGAACCCCAATAGCATCTTCCCCTTGAGGTTCTGAACCACTGCAGAAAAGCCCCTTTCTTGCAGTGTGGTTGTTCACCTAACAGCCTTCCTAGGTTTGTGAATGAGAGAGCCTCTCTGACTGATGGAGGTGAAGGTAGTCTTTCTCGTAATCGTGTACAAATAATTTAAGGCTTTAAAGGGCAAAAACAGCCCTTTAAGATGAGCTTGAAAACACACCATTATTATTATTATAATGGTACATTTCTAGTTTTAGTATTATTATACTGCATTTCTCTCCCACTTTTTTTTTTCTATTGCAAGGAACCCAGGTGACTTACAAAGTTCTCCGTTGTTATCCTCCAGCTACAACCTTGTGAGATAGGTTATGCTGAAAGGGAGTGACTGTCCGAAAGTCACCCAGTGACCTTCATGGCCAAGTGTAGACTAGAACCTGGATCTCCCAGATTCCAAGTACAATGCTGTAACCAGCATGCCACTCTGTAATAATTCAAGGATGAGAAAACTGGGTTATATTATGAATACTATAGATTAATGGTTAGATGCTTGAGACAACATGTATTGTGGTGTTTGGTCCATTATGTATTTATTTAAGTATATTTACTTATTTATTCAAGTATTTATATGCCTCCTATAACTGCCAAAGGCCTTCCTAGGTGGCTTATAAGTAACAACATATTAAAACCTGTTAAAGCAGTTAAAAGAATAAAACATTGACACAACAATAAAAATATAAAAAGGCCACCAGCATTCATAAGGGCTAAGTATTAAAAAAATTAAGGTATGTCTTTGCTTGGCGCTGAAATGAAAATAAAGACAGGGCCAGGTGCATTTCTCTAGGGAGGGAGTTCCAGAGACAGAAAAGGCCTTTTCCTCTTTGCCTCCCCTCTCACCTCCTTCTTGCAGAAAGGCCTCCTGTCCTGCTCTTAGGGAATGGGTAGGTATTTTTGGACTTCATGTAATTTAGTACATTTAAATACCACTTTTCTATAGCATACAATACCCAGAGCAGTTCACAGTAAGAGTTAAATGATCAAAAATACTACATCTGAAAGAAACAAACTGTGCATTTCTCACATTTCCGTACTATTCATTAGTGAAACTTCTGCCTGGTTTACAACTATTAAAACCATAACATACAATATGATAAAACATCATATAGAGCTGGGTGGTTCCTCAGCCACATTCATCCCCCAAGGCCTTGTTCTGAAGCTCAGGGCCTCCCAATCTCCCCCCACCCACCCCAGTCTTAATCACAGCAATGGCATGGGTATGATTGAGGTGAGCTTTCTTGAGGCTGCCGGCCAGGCCTGAGCGCGTTGGGCTGGTGGCCTGGGGAGAGCTCACGCTCATCCTAGCATATCCTGCCGCGTGCCTTTGGGCCCCTCAGCAGGAGCATGCAAGGCATGCTAGGTGGTTTGTCAGCTCAGGTGCAAGGGGCTCAGTGCACCAATTCCAAGAAGGAAGGAGGGGTGGGGGTCTCATAGCAGGGCTTGTGGGTGGGAGAAACAGGGAAGGAAGGGATGGGCCACCCCAGAGGAGCAGTCATTGTGCTTGGGCTGTGATCAGAGAAGGAATTGCCTGTGATTTCTGCACTACAATCTCTCCCATTAAGCCTTCATTTTATTCAGTTAGCACCACAATCTTAAGATTAAGAAGCAGCTCCTGATTTAATGGTTAATTAAATATATTAATCATGTATATTAGATAAATGCATTGTGAACACTTTAATTTGCAATATGGAAATTTAATTCATTGTGTCCTCATGCGGCCCTGAATGTACAAAAAGTTGAACTGCGCTGATAGAGAAGTTTGTGTTTTAAGCTACACTGTTCAAGAGAACTCTAGCAGAAATGCAAACATTTAAAAAGTAGTAACGTATTTAAAACAACAGAAACTGAAGGACTAGAATGTCGGGGGGGGGGGGGGGGGAGAAAAGACTACAGTGTAGCCAACCAGACAATCCTCCCAGGGAAGCTCATTCCATAATCTAGTAGTTAAGGACACACTTGGCTATAAAACATGTAAATAAAAATGCAGATGTAAAAAAGCTGTGAAGGTCTCTCTGTTCACCTTTTCATCCCCCTGAACACCCCCAGAATGCAGGGTTCAAGGCTGCTCTTCCAACCTTGGAGGTGCAGTTCAGCACTGGCTGCAAGGACAGAGGGAGGATGCTCTGGTTTTGGAGTTCCAGCTGCAACCTTGCAGTGCAGCCCATTTCTGAGGTTGGAACTGGTGCTCCAAGTTTTTCTATGGCTATATAGACTGTCTAGTGGTCATAGGATTGTGCCCTCAGTGTAGTTTTAGTTTGGGTTTTTTGGGAGGGTTCGGGGGATACAGAAATGTTGCAGCAATATAAAAGCTCTGCTAAGTTTTTTTTAGTAATGTGCAAAACATTTACTTTATTCAAACTCATGCAATTTCTACTTCTCTCTTCTTTTCAACACTTCTTTGAAAATTACAGGCTGAGGAATCCTGTAAATGTAATGGCTGGAAAAACCCTAACCCACCTTCCACTCCGCCCAGGGCAGATTTGCAGCAGGCAGTTGTGAGTCTTACGGAACCATGTCGTAGCTGTAATCATGCTTTAGGTAGGTTTGCAGCCTTTTTTCTGCAACACTTGTATATTTATTTGATGTACTAAAGTTTTAGGGAAGCTGACAATAAATTAAATAAACATATCCACATCATTACAGTTTTAAAAACATCTTTGTGTAAAACACAACCCATGTAATGTACTTCAAAGTGTGGTACAGCTGAAAACAGTAAGAAGACGGAAGATGGGAAGTTCAGTAATTCTGCCTAGGCATAACATTGTAACAGGGCAAAGTTTAATTATTGAAAGTCTCTTTTCTTCCAGATGGCTATACCCAAAGGCATAATATACCTTTTGGCACATCACTTTCTAAAGATGAGTCAGAAGTCTCAAATAAACCCTTTTATTGTAGTAATTTCAAAACTTAGCTATAGGGCTTTACAGTCTCAGTGTAGTACCTTGACAAGACTCAGTTTATGAGCACCACAACAAGAGGCTTGAGTATCTCTTGGTTCTGCACACAGAATGAATGAGTTTAGACAAAGCAGGAAGTCTTCCATGTGAACAATGTCCTGTTTCCAGCAAAGTCTGTTCTTGGTTTCTCTGCCTTAAATACAGGGGATTGGCTTCTAAAGATCATTATCAGACATTTGATCTTGGCAGGGAAACCTAGTTCGTAGGTGATCGCTGTGTCTCATTTCTGCCCCACCCTGTTTAGTTGATGATGCACCAAACCCCTTAAACATCCTATGCTTCCCCACTGCTCCTGCTCTCACAGAAAATATTTCTGGTCAAGAAGCAGGGGTCTCCTTCAAGGTCAGGTCTCCCAGGTATGGAAGCTAAAGCACATCAGCTTCTTGTATCTCACCTCCAGGCTATAATTAATCACTTTCAGACAAGCCAGCAATGGATGCCAGTTTTAAAGCCAAAACTCTTTAACCAAGCCCTGCTTTAAAGTATAATGGCTTTTTGGGGGCAGTTAGAAAAAGTTCCGGATTTGAATGTAAAAGAAAGCTATGAGAAATTGTGACTTACTGTCTCATTTTATCTGCTTGTATGGACAATGTATGAAGGGGGAACCAGAATGCTTAGCAGAATGTTTCTTGCACTGGCATTTTGCTATTGGACATCATGGTTTATTAACCCAGGATTCATGTCTTACTTATGTAAACACAACCAGTAGCTTATTTGTAATATTGTATACATGGCTATTGAAACAATGGATTTGTATATATTTAGTTAGAAGCTAAAGAGGGACAAAATGACCTGGAATCTGAGCAGCCATAGAAGTTTCTGATTCCTTCTTCTCCCCTTTACAAAGAAAAGTTAAAATGTTGAGGACAGGAGCTGAGGACAGAAGCAATAGAAGCATCTTCCCAATTCAAACTATGCTGTCATTAGAATGACAGTGTAACTAAATTTCCAATTAGTTTCCTGCTGTTACATGGTTATAACTACCATTTATTATGCTTTTAAGACTTTGAAACATTTACTTCTTAAGTTCTCCAGGCTTTGTAAGCTTGCACTGTAGGCTTGCAAAGACTGCTGCTGAAAGTATTTTGAATCCTTTATTAATATTCAGGAGGCATCCTAATGACATTAAGTAGAATGATCCATTCCAATTAATAGTCACTTGTGAGATAATGGATCTTTTTCTGCAGATGGCTGAAATTTGAATGTATCAGAAGTGAGAATCAGTGAGAAATCTCGTATTAACAATACCCTTGGGTTAGGTTCAAGGCACCAGGGCATCTCTAAAACTGTTGGATAACGTTCCTGCAAGCATGCTTATATATAGATCTCTTACCTAAGATTTTGTTTGAAACATTCACACAATGATGTTCAGATACTGCCTTTGTGGCACTAAAGTAGAGCAAAGAAAGGGCACTGATTGATACCTTCGTACTCTGATTGACCTTTATTGACATAAAGGTCAATAATCAGCTTTTGCTGTTAAAAAATAAAGGTTTTAGATTAACAAAACAAGGAGAAAATCTGAAAAAATACTTGGAGTGGATGATGCTGATGAATGCCCCCAATATGTAAATGAATTGTTTCATTAAAATGTTTCTCAAATTCTTACCAATCATTTTAACTAAAATGTGGTTACAAAATTTGCCTAAGAAAATGAAAAAAAATTCTTAATGAACTAGATCCAATTTATCTATGTTGGTTGGTCATTCTTGAGATAGGCCATTCTATTAGACATTTCTGGTTGCTTGACCCTTTTCCAGTAAGTTTTAGATTTACTTGTCTGTTTCAGCTGCTCATGTTTCCCATTTGGATAATGTCTCTGAAGAAGAAATGAACAGGCTGTTGGGGATTGTGCTGGATGTTGAGTATCTTTTCACCTGTGTTCACAAAGAAGAGGATGCAGATACCAAGCAAGTCTACTTCTACTTGTTCAAGGCAAGTTGCCATATTTGTTTTCCAGAATAAATCTCATGCTTTCTAAATCTTCATAAAGTATACATAGTAATGGCAAACTATAACTGTCCCCCACCCAAAGTGGCAACTTTCTTTAGATCTATCCATATAACCTCCTCAACCTTAGAGGTTTTTTTCCTTGTACTGAAGTGGGAAAAAGAGAACTGTAATTAATCTGTCATCTGTGAAACAGAAACACATGATTGGTCCCATTAACCCAGGTGATTTCTCCATTTTCAAAATGCAGGATGGCCCATATTTAGTTGCCTCTGTATTCTCCGTATACCAGTAGCCTGGTCCAGTAATTCCTAATTTGGGGAAGATCCTCCAGATGCACTGAAGTGCAGTTACCATTATTTCAAACAAGTATGGTCATTATTGTGAGGATAGAATTGGAATGGGGGAAGACTACCCAGAATACTTTGCTTTGAAGAAGGGGTGGGAAGAAAATGTTATAAATAAATAACTTTGATTGCATTTTTATTTAAAGTCATCAACTTTTTAAAATATCCTGTTTTCAACAGCTTTTGAGGAAGTGCATATTACAGATGGGGAAACCTGTTGTAGAAGGATCTTTGGAAAGCCCCCCATTTGAGAAGCCAAGTATTGAACAGGTAAAGTCTGTGCACAGCAATTTCATATCAGTATGATTCTACTTTCATCTGACATTTATTTAAAATGATAATCAGGGCCTCTGGTAATATACAAATTTAATTTCTTATGTTGATGAGAAGGAAAGCTGAATATTTGAGGTTCACATTAGGATAGTTTTATCCTTTTTTCATGCTAAAAGGCAGTGTAAATCAGTTGCATGTATTCCAGAATTCAACTCACACTTTCATCTGCATATGTAATAATTATCTTTAGTTTAAATAGTGCTCTTTTTAATGTATTCTTTTGTACATGTCTGCAGAGAGGCCTTTGTTCTTTAGTTCAGTGCCCCTGGAAATTGGATGGAAAAATCATCTTGTAAATTGGAAAATCCACCATTAGCAATACAAAAGAGGAAGTTTAAAAGGAATCCGGTAGATGATAGCAATTTGTATCACTACAAGACCCTAGGTAGGTAGCTGATATCTTTAGAAACCAAGGTCCTGATTCAGGAAGGTAACTTGTTATTTGGATATATATCACACATGCTGAACTTCAAACATATGAATGGTCATCTTGACTTGGGTCTAGAATAATGCCATATAGCTATGAAGTACTGTTATGGTTCAAATTTTATCCATTTGCATTTGGTTAGATTTTCTATGTTTTCCAGTGCAAAACCAGAAATCAGTACTGTAAAATTAACAGACTTAATTGTGCCAAGTTATTTTTGCTATTTTAATTCTGAACAGCAAGCACTCGCTACACCGTTTCCTCTAAGACCAACAACAGAAGCCCTAGGCATATAATGGTGTCAGATGGTTGTCTCTGGGATCCAACCCCTTGCATTTCTTTGTGCAAGGGGTTGGGTGGGGAGAGAGACAAGTGAAAATGGTTTCCAGAGGCAGAATGGTGTACCTTAAATCGTGCTGCTGTGGATGGTGTCCTCAGCCTTTGCAGAGGGTTGTGTGTGGGGGTGTGGGGTGGCGGAGTAGATTGCCTGAAAGAGAAGCAAGCACCCCACATGCCTTCTAGAAACTAGCCAGTGATGTTAGTTGTGTTGTATCAACTTCAGTTAAAATACTGCAAATTAAGTTTTCTAAAATGGGCTGAGAATTTGATTAGAACCTGCAATTTTTAAAGATGCCTTAACGGCAACTGAAAGATGTAGTTGAGTGTGACATTCATGAAACAGGAGCGTGCTGTTTGGTTATTCGTGTCTGGACTGTGTCCAAAAATAAAAGCAAAATTAGGTGTCATGGGTTTAACAAAACTGTTCCAGTTGGTTGCCTTTGCAGGTGTCTCTGCAGTTAGCCTCTGAACTCAAAGGCTTAGAAACATGCAATGGCAGGAGATAGTCATGGCAGCTATCTGTACTGCCACCATATCTTGCATCCAGTGTTTGCTCTAGATGGCCATTTTCAGCCATCCAGTGGAAGCACTGGAGAGGAGTGGGGAAGCCAGCAGGGTTGCTGAAAGGCCAATACAAGCCCAGTTCCCCAGCCTCCTGCCCATACTACTATACCTCTTTTTGTCTTCTCTGAGCCCAAGTTGTTCTGATGCTGGCAGTGAGAAGACAGGTCATGGGCTCTCCCTTCAACACCCCCAGCTCCAAATCGCATGATCCAAGGATTCTTATGGCCTCCCAGAAGAGGTCAGAAGGCCATAGGATCCACCCTTTCAAATAAATCTGTGAAGCTAGAGGTATGGTTTATAACTGAACTAAGCATTTACAGACATGTCCAGAGAGAGAGAAAAGGCCTTGCCAGTTTTGTAAGAGGTGGGTTGGTTTTTTCTTCTGAGGAAACAAAGAAGCATCCACATAGAAAGTATAATTTTTAAATAAAAAATAGGGGCCTGGTTCTTCCCAAAAAAGGCATCCTAATTGATTTTCTGTAATATAAGAGATGAAACCTGGGATAAAATTTCTCCAAGAATTCCATAAACCAAAGATAAAAGGACTGGGCAGTATATACTGGAGGCGTAAGAGTTTCTCTATGGAATCTAGAAGAGGGGTAGGGATATTAATTAATATAGAAATAAACTTCCAGTTAAAAAGGATGATGTAAAATAAAAACAGGATGCATATATTTGTAGAAGGGATATATAACAATAAAGGATCAATAACATTGGTATCAATAATACCCCTATTATGAATCAGTTAATTTTTCTTCATATTTTAGCTACATTTAATAGATTTTCTAAGTCATAGAAAATTACTGCAGGGGATTTAAACCGGAATTTCCAGGGGGAAATACCAATTAATGATGCAAAGTATAACTGTAAAGCGAGGTAGAAAAATGTATAAATATATGCAGATCCTGAAAAGATATGAAATTTATGATGTGTGGAATGAAATTAATCTTAATGATTGCAGTTATTTTCTGAAGTACATAAAACTTTTAGTAGGCCTGATAGAATTTTAATGACAGAAATGCTTTGACATGGAACAAGGGAATGGAAATTGGCTAAATAAAAGTAACAGACCATACCCAAATACAAGAGTATGTAGAGATAGGCAAAAAAGAATTTCATATGGAAATAGAATCCTTTATTACTAATTAAATGAAATAAAAAGTAGAACAAAAAGAATTTGGAAAGATATTTTCAGTAAAACAAATTAGGTAAAACAACTGAAACAATTAGTTGGGAAGTGGGCAAGGCAACAATAAGACCTCTGTGTATAAAAGAATTTGAGTTTGGTACAGATAAAGGAAAAAGAGTTTGGATTAAGAATTCAATACAATAACAGACCAGTATAAGAATATGGGATGCATTAATGTTAGAAAAGACTGTAAAAATTGAAGAAAGAGAGAAAGTTGGAAATAAGCCAAATAATGAATAAATGACAAATATATTATGGGGGTATGGGTAAAATAGAATTTTAAGGTTCAACACAAAAAGGGAATTGAAACATATGATCAAAAAGAATTGGAAGCAATATTACAACATTATTTCAAACATCTATATAAAGGGAATCAGATAAAAAGCAGGACCAGGTACATCAAGATAAAACAAAGCAAAGAATAGAAAAAGTAAAAAAATGATAGCCAGATGGGAATAACTAAGTGTGACACATTTGATTGGATTATAACAAAAATGACAATATTACCAAAATTTAATGTACTTCAAGAAATTCTACACAAAATGTTTGAAGTATTTCAGAGTAGGACAGAAACTTTGATTTATTTCACTTTTCAAACTTTATCAATTTAAATAGAAGAAGGTACATTAAATTTTGTAGAGAAATGGTCCTGGACACTGGTAGAATTTGCAAAAATAAATTAGAATGTATCATTTTTGTGTTGAAGCGGATGTAAAATTAACTGAACGTTAATATATAAGTGTTCAATAGATGGCAAAAGAAGAAGGGGACGGCAGAGGATGAGGTGGCTAGATGGAGTCACTGAAGCAGTTGGTGTGAGCTTAAGTGGACTCCAGGGGATGTTGGAGGACAGGAAGACCTGGAGGAATGTTGTCCATGGGGTCGCGATGGGTCAGACACGACTTCACGACTAACAACAACAACAACAAATATATAAGTGTTAGGAATGTAGGTACTTAAGTCAGTTTTGGAAAGAGAATATTTAAAAAAATAAAAAGGGATAAGCTTAGCCCTATTGAATATGCTTGAGAAAGAGAACAGAGAGATTAAAAAATTGTTGAAAGCTGCAAAGCAGTTCATCACAAATATTTGGAAGACAGCATGGATGTTAATTTCTAGATCAAAAAAGAAAATATGGGATATAGCAATTCATGAAAAGTTGACACAAGTTATGGATGATAGATGAATAAAGAAAAATATACTGATGAAAATATATTGATTATATGAAGAAGGACTAATAGAATAATTTTGGAAGAAGATTATAGAATACTCTGGGACATAAAAAAGATTAGAAGGAATGAAATAGGACAAATTAACATGGGTCATTCTGGGTAGGGATTGGGAAAGGGGTATGTATTAATAGATACCAATATGGATGTGTTTTGTTTTGCATGTGTATGTATTACTTTTGAAAGCATAAACAATCAATACAAATTGATTTTGTAGGTACCCTAATTACCTGTTCTTCCTTTCCTTTCTTCCTTAAGGGGGTTAATAATTTTGTGCAATACAAATTTAGTCACCTTCCATCAAAAGAGAGACTAACAATAATAGAGTTGGCTAAAATGTTTCTCAATCGCATCAACTACTGGCACTTGGAGACACCTTCCCAGCGAAGACAAAGGTCACCTAATGATGACATTGCTGGCTATAAAGTTAACTACACAAGGTAATCCTTTTCCAGGTTTTCACATGTATCTTGTAGGATCGGGCCTCATAGATAGTGGGTACCAGTGCCCCCTTCTCATATCATGTGATATACAAAGTGAAGTACATTGGAACAAATATTCTGGTCGAGATTTATATACTGGCTTTAAAATGGATCGAATAAATATGTGAAAGAAAAATCTGGTAGTAGCTAGAAGCTATAGTAGCTAAATGTTCAGCCTATGCATTATATCTCTGACTGCCAGAAGCTAGTGAATGGCACCAGGCTTAAGATACTGCCCCAATTTCTTGCTTGTATTCATACTTCTGGAATTTGGTTTGTTACTGTTCCTGGATGGGTGAGCTGGAAGGACCAGTGGCCTATTCTTGACCCAATATACCACTTCTTGTGTGATAACCTGGCTTTAAAATTATTATTATTATTATTATTATTATTATTATTATTATTATTATTATTATTATTATTATAACATTTCTATGCCGCCCCTTGCCAAAACCTCGGGGCGGCTTACAACATGATAAAATACATTGAACTTCCAGAATATATTGAATATATTTATATGGAATTTAAATGTGTGCTCTAACTTGGTTGATTTCGGGACATGGAATAAAAACATTAAACGGTCATTAAATGGACTGTTGTTTTAGAAGTTGCAATGAAGTGTTCTTTAAAGCGCATAGCTATTGAGTGGTAAACAGACTGTCAAATACAATACTTTTCATGCAAGTTTGGGTCAACTGACTGTGTTTATGTCTCAATTTGCAGGTGGCTGTGCTACTGCAATGTCCCTCAGTTTTGTGATAGTCTACCTCGATATGAAACCACACAGGTTTTTGGGAGAACACTGTTGCGCTCAGTCTTTACCGTCATGCGACGGCAACTTCTAGAACACGCGAGGCAGGAGAAAGACAAACTGCCTCAGGAGAAACGAACGCTAATCCTCACCCATTTTCCCAAGTAATCTTTCTTTTTTACTTTGTGGACTTTCTGATCAATTTGAAGCCTTATGTCTCCCATATGATTATGATCCCTTACTGCTAACTGTATCTATTGCTAAAAAAGAGAAAAATGTCACAACACATTTCTTTCTGCTGAAAGAAACATTGTCTAAAGGGAAACATGTCAAGTGTAGTATATGGCAGAGATCTTGAACCTCTTTCATCCCAAAGGCTGGGCTCCATTTCAGAGAAACTCTTGAGGACCCGCTTCCAGTGATAGGCAGGACCAAATGCAAATTTGGGCATATATTTACCCACAAATTTTAATCTCAAGTTCAAGTTGCTAATAATGAAACATTACAGTCTAATCACATGCATGTGGGCTAAAGAATACTGAAATTTGCAGGTTTCTGCCTACATAGGAATGGAGAGAAAAAAACTGCTCAGCTGTTTAAAGCCAGGAAACTTCCCAATAATCCAGGGTTGGGGGAAAGGTGACAGGGTGTTCTGGGCAACTCCAAAAGGCCAGATTGGGACTCTGGGTCTGAGCTTCTGCAGCCCTGCATATACGTAGGATTGGGTTCCAAGGAGCTTCCACTAAGAATCCAAGCATCTGCTAGTCTACATTTGTATCTGAAACACAGCATGGCCTACAAGCCATGCAGCAGTTGCTGGGCCGTCTCTGTTGCTTAGTGGCTGAGCCTACTAAAGAACCTTAAGTTTTAAAACAGGGTGTTCTGGCCTTATACCTCTCGATGCAAGCTCTCCAAAATAAAAGACAAGTAGCACAGGCTTTTAAAAGCCTGTACCTGCCTTATATCTGAACTCCAGGGCTACATTCTTATTTGTGTGTACCTGTGAATAAGTCCCACCAAATTCATTCTCAAATGCATGAATAAGGTCATGGTGACATTCTGTTCAGAATTTCATTTGGTTATGTGCTGCAGTTACATTTGATTGTGCCTCAGAGCAGGGCTTCTGCCACACTATGTTGTAGCTTACCCACAGGACATGTTACATATAAACACATAAGCAAATACAGTATAAAGTATTTATGTGAAAGGTTGTGCCTTGAATATTGAAAATAAATAATTCAAATCCCTGCTTTGCAGCTTTGTTTGCTTAAGCAAAAATGGGAGATAAAATAAACTGAAGCACAAAAGTTGACTATCTTTCTGTCTGTCTGGGGGTTGTAGGATTTTTTTCTGCCTAAACAAGCCTAGAATTCCATCCTCCTTTATTCATATTGGACCCACTGAAATAAATGCAGCTGTTAGTCATGACTAACTCCTTTGATTTCCATTGAATATATTCTAATTATGATTAAGTCTGGATCCATTCCAGTGAAAGATAGTCCACCTTTCCATTAAGTAATAATAAATAAATCCCTTGAAATTCCGCTTATCTATTTATCCAACTCCAGTTTAAAGTTATGTTTTAGGTTTTTGAATGTATGTATTTTAATCTTTGTATTTTGTTGTGTATCATCTGAGTGATCAGACTGATGATCCAAAACTATTCCAATTTAAAACAAAAACAAAGCAAATAAATATGTATTCCCTTATGAAACATTTTCTTGGATCCTTCATTTTCAATCTATAAATAGAAGGAGCTTCCAGTCATGAAAGAATTTAAATCACAGAAGGAGGATTCTCTCATGGAAGGGTTCCATCCATCAATGGAAGCTTCTTCTATTCATGGAGCAAGGACTTAGGATCCAAGGTAGATTTGGAGGATTTGTTAATAAAGCTGGTGAGCTTCATAACTCAAGTTTAACTTCCCCATGCCATAACTATTCAAAGACTCAAAATGAGCCCCAAAGTTCCAAAAATGTCACCACTGGAAGATTATAGAATGCTAGCCCACCAGTGTCTGTGCAGAGTTCTTGTTTATCAAGAACATTATATTGTATGAAGTATATATTTTATAGTAGTGTTGGGATATGTTAATAAAGACATTCACAAGGCTTAGTTCAATGTGAGTCTGAAAAACAAATCCTACACATTGTTAATCCATTCAAAGGCAAGTATAGGCATATGTCAGAATCCTGGAATCTCAGTTTGAGAAGAGGAAATAAAACTCGGGTTGGTGGGAAAGATCAAGCGTTCAGACCATCTAGGCTTTATTGTATTACCCAGGTTCCCCGCAGGTCCAACTCACGATAATGCATTACCGGGCAGGCAGAGGTAAACTCTGCTGCAAAGCTTCAATACCCATTACAGGGCATTTATACTCTCTTGGGTACAGGGCAATTGATGACAGAATGCAGAGATTACAATAAGATTCTGAGGTCATCACATACAGAACAGATAAAGGAATGTCAGTCAATCATACAGTGACAATAAGATTACAATATTTCAAATTGCAGTGTATTGACATTTTAGTTGAGTAACTTGAACCCATCTCCAGGTCTGCTTAGACATGTAAATTCAAGCTACTGAGAAACTATGCATGAACTCAAGACTCTTATCTAGACTCTAAACATTCTGAATTGACCAGGGCACATGGAGCCCTCTGGACTAGGAAGATACTTCCTTGTAAAACTGAATTCCAACAATGATTATTTAATCATTGTGAAGGTGTACAATGTAAATTTGGACTAAATGGCCTGTGTACTGTAGCTTACAGCTAAAGGTGAGAGAAAGGAGCGGGGGAATGCCATTTTAAACAGTGACAGCTTGGTTTTGAGAAGGAGTACAGGATTTGATCCCACAATTCAAACGCACACAGAAGTAATGTTTTTCTGACAGGATTTGTCCAAATTTTCCCAACACATATGTATTGGATTATTTGTATCAGTATGCTTTAAGCATCAATATCATCAGCAACTCAGAGGTTATATTGTAGAATCACTACTGCAGATGTATACTGCATTTTAGAGAATTCAGCTTGACTTAAACATCATTTAATAAAAAAAACTGCTTGTTTTCACTTTTATTTATTTTTTTATTATTCGGAAGACATCCACAGTGCAATAAATACTCTATGCTAAATTTGCTGATCTGTTTGCATAATATTCTGAATGCACAGTTTTTGTCTACCAGAAAGTTAAGGTGTCTACGGTTTCACTTGTGGTTGAATTTTCAGTAACAGAAGAGCATTGGTTGCCTTTTTAGACCTTATTCAGTTTTGCATAAGGAAGCATATTAAGTTGCTTGTGACTTTATAGCTGTGTGTCTTGCTAAGTAGCTTGGTGGTAGAGCCATGAAGTTGTCAATTTATGTAACAACTGTATTATAATAGGAGTAAGTTATTCATGACTGCTTGCTTTTCAAACATATTAGTGGAACAATAGGTATGTAATTACTCCTCCACCCCCACTGAAGTTGCCTCTTAGCAAAGAACAAATTGCTTAGAGGCAAAATACTGCTCTTATACACTATTTCATCATGAGAGACAAGGGCTAAATAGGATCTTTGGTGAGACCAGTAAATTAAGAGTGCAATCCTATGCAGCTTTAGACAGAAAAAGGGTCTATAATTCCAGTATGCTCTAGCAAGCCATGGTGAGGCCTGCAGGCCCCCCCCCCCCCCCAATCTAAACATTCACAGGATTTTTGGATACCTACAAGATTCCATGCAATCATGCAAAAGTCTTAAGGGAAAAATAAGATAATGTAGGTAATGGTGGATTTCTAGCAAGGTTTGCTGCTTTTTGAACTAAGGATCTGGGAAGAAACTGGGGATTCTTAGGCTTTCTCACCCTCCTAGGATACCAATCTGGCATTCTGGGCTTCCTAAGAAGACTATGTACCCCTTTTTCTGGCCACATCCTGTTTCCACTGACTGCTGATTATTTGACACTTTTCCAGCTGTTGCATATATTTTTCCCTTCTAAAAGGGTGGCTTAGTGACCAGCAGTAAGAGTCTTCAACTGGAATAATTTCAGTATTTTTACCTTTGGACTTGTGTGACCCTGCACCGCTGCCTGAGAGCTTATTTGAAATTGCAGTTGCACCTACAATTATCTAAGAATAATTGGGGTTTACTTCTGATTAGACTTGTTTAGGATTGCACTGATTGCTGTCCTTGCTTAAAACAACAACATGACATTCTCATTCTGGTTGAATTGCCCCATTGGGCTTCTTGGAGTTACAGGGGAGCTTTAAGCAGAAAGCTTTCTACAAGAAGAAAAAGGGTCATTTCTGCAATTCGTGGAAAGTATGAATGAAATGTTATTTTTAGCATTCATATTGCTGTGAATAATAACATGTTCATTCTGAGGCTGTCTCCTACTAACCAGTTTCTCAGCTGGAGAAACTGCAGTTTAGAATTCTGAGTGAGTTCTTATTTTTCAAAGCAGCATTCCTAACAGACCTCCAGGAAAAGATTAAGCAGTCATAGCTTTAAAATGGTAGGAGGGTTTTCTTACATGGCATTATTGTCACCTTGATAATGTATTTGTGATACTTGAACAATTATATTAGTAGTTCCAAAGCACAGGCTTGCGCATCATGACAACGCACTCTGCAAATAAGCTACACAGGCTGGATTGTTATTGAAACAAACCCATGGTGTACCTGATAGAGGATTGCACTCACTTAGGGTTATCCATCCTTAGGTATCCCAAGGGACTTGTCTCCTTTCCCCTTGCCATAATTATGAGCCCTTCCCTCCTCTTTTCTTTCTGTTGTTTAGAGATTGCTGTTTGAAGTTGCCAATTTAGTATCTAGGTAATGGCCCCTCAAAGTCCTTTTCAGTGATTTGTCACCCCATATATATGGTGTTTACAAGAGCTGAGCAGGGCTGTGATGGAAAGGATGTTCTGGACAGCATTCATTCATATGGTCACCTTTGTTTATTTACTGCCCAAAGACAAATCTGGCTGACTGGTTAAGCCATAAGTTGGAGAGGACTTGATGGCACTTAACAACATTTGTGCAATTGTTTTAAAACTTTTTAAAAAATTAACGTTTTTAGCAAAGACTTCTGCAGGTCTGAAATGGGAAGGCTCAGCACACAGCAGTGTCTCCTTTCAAAGTGCAACAGGAACCCACTGTGAGCATTGACCCAGAGGGGGTGCAAAAGAGCATTATTTTTCACTTCGCTTTCTTTCAACAGCTTTCAAAAAACAAGCTGTCAGAAGAAACCAAAGACATAAATGATCATTATTCATGAAAAGAGGTGGCCAGTAGAATCCTCTAGGTTTGTCTGGGGAGCTGACTATTCCTCACTATTTTCCTTCATTTTCCCTTTTCAAAGGAACATTGATGTTCGACAGCTAGATTTTAAAACTCTGATTTATTTTACAAAGGGTTTGTTTGTTTGTTTGACAGGGCTATTTGAACTGTTGGTAAAAACATATGCAGGCACAGATATGAGTTAATTATGCTTGAGCTATAGTGTTGCACTCATAATGAAAAAAAAAAGCATATGGATGTCATTCATTTTCAAAATACAATTGCATGCAAAGTGAGAATTCTACACCATGTCCATGATTTTGGCTTCGGAATTTGAAGTGTTATAATTTATCTCTGTGCCACCTTTGGGCCAAAAGCCTCCAAGGGTAGCTCTATCAAGTTAGGCATGAATGCAACATTGTAAACATTATTTACAATTTGTAATAGCCTAATAAGAGAGCCAGTGTGGTGTGGTGATGAAAGTGTTGGACTGGCCCTGGGATATCTGGGTTCTAGTCTCCATTCTTCATGAAGTTTGCTGAACAACTTTGGGCCAGTCACTCACTCTTAGCCCAACCTATCGTACAGGGTTGTTGGGAGGATAAAATGGAGCTATATAAGCCACCGTGGGATCCTAACAAGGGGAAAAGAGGCAGGATATAAGCATAATGTAACAATAATAATAACAATAACAATAATAATCCAATTATTATTATTATTTCATCATCTATAACAAAAGGCCTACAACCAAAGGCACTCTGACTTTAGAATGAGCTCTCCAGAGAGGTTCACATGGTGCCGTCTTTATACTTTTTTTGGCACCAGGTGAAGACCCTTTTAGTTTGCTGATATTTTAACTGTTAGTCTGTTTTTAATAGTATTTTTAATAGATGTGGTATGCTTTCTATAACATAATTAGTTTTGTTAAGTTGAAGTAGGTGCGCTTTTACTGTTTTACAGTTATTTGATTTTTGCGTTTTTATACTGATTGTATGTGTTTATTGTTGCAACCGATCCAGGGAGCCATGTGGCTAATAGGGTGGGTTAGAAATTAAATAAGCAAACCAAAATGCATTCACCCCACGGGAATGGCTGGGAAGACCATAGACATGCTGGTACACTCAGGAAGGGTCAGCAGGGAATCTGCCTCAGGACTTTTGAGAACCACCAGGAGAAGGCTGCTGTAGTCCATAGGCAAGAATAGGGAATGGACAGCAATTCTGGTCATGGGGGCTGCTGGATTGTGTGGTGAGGCCAGGATGGTGGAGCAGGCAGCATAGAAACTGCTCTGTGTAGTTAACCATGCAGCTGTTTGACCAGTAAGTTTGGGCACAAATCTGCACACTGTGGAAGCCATGCAGGGTTGTTTGCTCTGTCTTGGGAACCCAGTCTAATTCAGATGAATAATGCCAACAGCTAGGAATGTGTACAGTACAGCATTTCCACCTGTTTACTGTTAATTACAGTTCTCAAAAGCTCAGCTAGGCAAACAGCTCATATAATATTGGTATGAAGTATCAGAATTAGAAACTGATTGGCTGGTCTGCCAATGTAGGTAAAGATATTTTTGTGTGTATGCATAGATAATTAAACCATATTTAAAGAAAGCTGGCTTTTCAAATATTGATATCTGGTGTTACTAGCCTCTCTCTGTTTTTAATTACAGTCTAGGGACTTCCCTTTGGGATTATTTCCATCATAATAGATGGATTATCTATTAAGCAAAGAAAATATGCCAGAAGAAGTGTTGAGCTGCTAATGGTTCAGTACTATGGTCCCTGAAACACTGTCCCAGGAACCAAATCCAAATGAAAGATTGGATTTCTCCACTATGTGGGAAGATAGGGAGGTCCAAGCGTGGGAGGCAGTTTTAATTTTAGGACCCCACTACCAGGCTCTGTGGAAAATTCTGCAGCCCATTTCTCCCCACTGATGGTGAGGGTGAAAGGGGGAGAAATAGGTAGGTGGTCCCTGGGCATGTCTGCCAGGTCCCAGACATTCACCCAGTGTGGAGAATAATTAGACCAACTGGATGTTGGTGTAATGAATTCCTTCCCTTTGACTGCAAAATGATATCTCAGTAAATGATGTTGTATCTATAATGTGTTCATTCCTTTCAATTGTTTCTGTGTTGTATCACTAAAAAAGTATAAACAACCTATTAAGCCAATGGTTTTACTGAATTTGTTCCTGTTTTGATAGCTGTCTGAAATTCTCATTATAACAGAATAATATGTATTATTCTAGGGAATTAGAAAACATATTACTACTTATATACTATAATCCATCTATAACAGTGTTTCTCTAACTTCTGTGTCAAGGTTCCTGTCCATGTTGGAGGAGGAGGTGTACAGTCAAAGTTCTCCTATCTGGGATCCAGATTTCGTAGTATCCTCTTCTCAAAGTGCCCAGCTAGGCATCCAGACAGGTAACTGTGATGTAATGCATGGCAGGATGAGAGCTAAACTGAACATGAGGGAATTAACATGTATGTTTTTACAGGGACTGTGGGGACTGGGATCAGCAAACTCGGACGGAGGGTAACTTTCTTTCTCACAAAAATTATATTTGTGTCTCAAAGAAGAGCCATACTGCATCAAACCCATGGTCCCATCTCTTCCAGCATTTGTTCACACAGAGGCCAAACAGCTGCATTACATCCCACAAACAGGGCAGGAGTACAATGGTATACTCCTACCTAAGTTCCCCAGTAACAGGTATACATAAGCACACTGCCTCTGATACTGAGGTAGTACATAGCCAGCAAGACTAATAGCCATGGATAGCCTTCTTCTCCATGAATTAGTCCAGTCCCCTTTTAAAGCCATCCAAATCAGTGTTGATGGCAGCTTTCTTGGAACTTCAAGCAGCAGACTCACAACTGTGATAATTTAGCAGGACTATGGCAGGAAAAAAGTGAGGTGCCCCAAAGTTAGCTTCACTCCTCAAAGAGCCCAGGCTGCTCAGATTTCCACTCAGCTGCTATTTGTATAACCAGAAACATGCACATTAATTGCAGTCATAGTTTAGTCATAATGTTGGAAAGAAAAGGATAGTTTTGCACCACACATGAATACTTTTTCCTAAAATACAGCTGAACATTACTTATCCAGGCCTGTCCGGTTTGGATTTTTTAATTAGGCTTTTGTTATGCCTACACAAAATATTATAGATAGTGTATTGGCCATTGCTGAGTAAGATTTAGACAAGAGCGTGTGTAATAAGATTTATGTATACAACTCTTGTTTATAAGTAGAGGAAGAGATTCCAGTGAACTTACAAAGAGCAGCTGTAATGCTGACAGACTCCTGGAAACTAGTATCATAATCAAGTTTAAATAAACTAGTGAGCATCTGGTAATAATAACCGTTAATGATATTTAAAATTTATATAACTTTTCCCTTCTTAAGAGCTCAGAACATTAAACATACATACATACATGCATACATACATACATTCTTTCTGTCTGTCTTCACAGGTGGGATTTTAGCCCACTCTGGTTCACTCTTCTACATCCTGCTAATTCTCACTCAAATCTTTGGAATGTACTCAGTTTAGGTCAAGTTGAAACATTGTTTTTCCATGGTAATGTCTTTGGAAAATAGTGGACTCTGAAGGTTTAGAGGCAGGGTGGGTAAAGTGTGAGCCACACAACTTCTGTCTGCATCCCACAGGAAGGTAAGAAGGGCCCTGCAGGATCAGAGCAATGTCCATCTACTCCAGCATTGTGTTCACTGAGCGGCCAACCACCTGCCCACAGGGTCCCACAAACAGGACAGGGGTGCAGTGGTGCCCTCCTGCTTCTGTGCCCCAGTAAGTGGTGCCCATAGCCATGCTGCCTCTGATACTGGAGGAAGCATATGGCCAGCAGGACGCTAGTTCCCCTCCATTAGTTTGGTCAGTCCCCTTTTCAATCTGCCCCAGTTGGAAGCAACGTCAGCTGTTGTCCCTACAATTATCATCATCTCTAGCTGCTGTAGTCAATGGCAAGGGGTGTTAGGAGTTATAGGCTAAAACATGTGGAAGGTCATGTTTCCCACATCTGGTTTAGGTAATAGACATTCTCAGCTGGGGAGATGAAGGGAGTAGGGCACTGTCCATTAAACCCTCTCCCAGCCAGCATGACCCTCCTCTGCTGTTGCTGCTGCTGCTTCTCCTCCTCCTCCTCCTCCTCCTCCTCCATCACCATCACCATCACCATCACCATCATCTCTTCTATTTATATCCCACCTTTTTTTCTTTCTAAGGAACTTAAGGCAGCTTACGTATTTCCCCTCTCAATCTTATCCTCACAATAACCCTGTGAGGTAGGCTGGAAAGAGCATCTGTGACCAGTGAGCTCCATGGCTGCATGAGGACTAAAACCTGGACCTCCTGAGTCCCAGTCCAACAGTATTGATCACTATACCATCCTGGCTCTGTTTGATAGGCATGATAGGTTGTCTTTAGTCAGTGTCAACAGTACTTTTTCACATGAACCCCTGGCCTGCCTATGCTTAAGGCAGCCTTTATAGGCACCTAGAAAGATGCTGTATACTGAATCAGCAACCTTGTGTTGCTGATGCTTACAGGGGTGCAAGCTCTGCCTGGAGATGTCAGTGGATGAACCCGGGATCATCTGCATTCAAGGCATGCTCTCTACCAGCAGCTGGTCCCTCCTCTTAGGAGGAACCTCAGCAAAGCATTTTTTAAGTGTTGGACTTTCCTGCTTCAACCTTTCGTGTTTCTGGTGAATAATCTTTACTAAAAGGACTGGGAATTGCTTTGTGTGAAACTTGACTTTAGAAGAACTGCTGGGTCATGGGGTTTGGGTTAAGGCCGCCTTTTCTCTCACAGTTGCATGACTGGTTTTAAAATCATTCTTTGAAGGCAGATAGTACTGACCCAGATGTGCAGCTTGATTTCTGATGCCTTCAACCTTGTTTTCTTTCTACACGATTGTAGTCATTAGCCGTCCTCCTGTAGTGAGGTCTGTTTCATACAGTGCAAGTCCTTCATCTCTAGATCAGCCCAGTGGAGGAAGCATGAGTCCTGCTTGCAAGACTGCTTCTGGACTTGACCCAAACATAGGTAACGTAAAGAACAGTGGACCTTCACCTTTGTGCTGTTGTTGTTGCTTACGTCTAATTGGCATGCCCTCAGACTGTAGGGACCTGCTCTGCTGAGCCAGTCCTGCTGAAGGGCACGAGAGCTGAGTAAAACTAGAGCTGTGGACAGTGCTAAGTCATGCTGCAAAAAGATCCTAGTTGCTGGACTGGATGATCCCGTGTTAGTCGTTCTTAGGCCCACTGCAATCAGAGGCCTAAATTAGTCAAGTTCCCTTGTTTTCAGTGGGCCTGCCTGTGCGTATGACTAACTGTGGATCCAACCCAGTGTGCTTCACTGCATTGGTGATTATTTATTCTGTTCAAAGTTATTTAGAGGGCTAAATTTGAAATTGTGACAACCAAGACTTCTGCCTTGGAACTCAATTTCTTTCCCAAGTTTCTAGCCCCCAAGAATTAAGTGAGTGTAAACAGAGCATTCTTCCCTCAATAGTGACTGATGAGAACCAGTTCCCATACATTGGGATTGTGGGATAAGGTCCCCAGGACAAAGGATATCCTTCCCAATTAAACCCTAGAAATACATATTCAAGGATGCGGTCCTAATTATGCCATTGAGCACAGTGGAGCTAGGATTTGGCTGTGCAATTTCAGTTGAAATTGTCCCCAAGGCGAGGTACAGATTACATCTCAATAGTTCATGTTGTTTCAGATCAGCACTGACCCATGGTTAAACCTTAGTGCAGACAAGCCCTTACATTTTCTTTGCCCACAGGCAAAATGCCACCTAATGGAAGAACAAAGCCTGTACTGGGTGTCCTATTCCCCAAACACCTCAATTCATACCTGATGCCTACACTGTGTTTAAGCATAACTGTGAAAATTCTTGCTACTCTAAAAAATTCACTCTGAGCTGACAAAGCTTTTTTTCTCCTCTGAGTTATTTGATTCTATCACACTTGCCCCCGCCACCCCCAGCAATTAATGAGGCAAGTCAAAACACAGTTATTTTTAACTTATCCTGGGCCTGAAGTGCCAAGCTCTCTCCCTGCAGCTTTTACTGCCATATGTACAGAATGTTCTACAACGAAAGCTAAACTGCCAGATTTGTTGATTCATGAGCCAGGAGAGACATCCATCATATCTATTCAGTCCAGCCTTATAGCTCTTTCTTTTTCCCAACATGTTCCAGTATACCTTGACGGGTCGAACTGGCAGGAAGAGGCATTTTGAATGGAAAAAAACAGTGCAAGGGTTAAGAGACCCCCCTTTTCCCTCTGTTGGTCTTTTAACTCAGCAGCAACCTGTGGGACCAAACCAGATAACTGCCCCCACCCCTCTTCTAAGAAAGGCACTGCAAAACTACACACAATTTTGCTTTTAGCTTTGCTGGTGTCACAGAGGAGCAAGGCAGCCAGATACAAATAATCAACTTTTGTTACATTGCTTTGAATTGCCCACACACCATGAGACTAATGCCTTGTTGGTGCAAACTAGTTTGGGAGCATTTTGATGGAAATTATTTTCACTGCCAGGATGTTTATGAACAGTGTTTTGTGAATGATCACTGCGGTAATCATTCATGCACACATTGACATAATGATTACTGTATTTCTTGCACTTCATTCCCCTCTGGCCTCAGTCCTAATATTTCTTCCTTCTCCTGCACCTTGTGTGTATATATATTTGTCAGCTGAAGATGACATTCCCATGCCTTGGATGAAGTAAGCCTGGTCCACAAAAAACTGAATTACTGCATTGTTACGGTGCACCAAAAGTGCCAGGGATCACAGAAAAGTTTACTGCTTAACTATATGATAATTTTGCCCTTTAATTTATAGAACTAGGAGAAGAATGTCTATATTTCCTGAATATAGACATTCAGCAAAGTTAAAGACATTCAGCAAAATATATAGACATTCTAAGCAAAGTTAGAACATATCAATATGTTCTTCTCTACTTATAGGGCTTCTTTTGTGGTTTGGGCTTCTTTCAAAGCTCTCTAGTGATTCCCTAAATATACCTGGAAGTACTAAAAGTTCATTGCTCTCTGGATGTTAGGGCAGACCCAGACTACTTTTCTTTCTTATTTGTCTAACCTGGAGTAAGGAACCCCTTTCAGCCTGAGAGTCAAATTCTATTTCAGAGAACGTATCAGGGAACACTTTTCAGTGATGGGTGAGGTAAATGGGAGTGCAGCCAAAATACTAAAAATGCCAGCATATTTCAGCTTCAAGCTTTTACTGACAGTAAGTAATCCTTAGCAGAGGCATTTTAACCTTTTAGAATGGGGGAAAACATGGCAGAAAAGCATCCAAATATTGCTGGTTGGGGGAAACAGAGTTGAGTTGTAAAAAGGGACTGTGGCCATCTTGGTGGATCCTGGGGGGACAGGAATTGGCCCTCAGGTGGGCCAGATTGAGCCCTTGTGCCTAAGGACCCCTACCCTACTCTAACTGATGGCTTGGTGTGTTTCCTGCTGGGCACTGTGATGTGCACTGGAAATTATGCAGTCCTTCTTATCTTCCCCTGGAAGCCCTTGCTCTTTGTGGAAATCCAGTCATACCAACTGTATGATTTGTGGTAGTGCAACTCTTTTTCCTCAGTGGATCAGGTGGGAAAGCAGCAAGAGCTGAAATGCTGTGCGTGTTTGGACTGTGGAGAAGCCTTTCAAAACAGCACATCGAATGCCCAGAGTTGCAGCTGCCTGCATCTGCCATGTCAGCATAAACTAATTCACAACACATTTTTGCCTCATAGTAAATCCTTAGATGTTAGCTGCCTTTTTAATACCTTGTCTGAATAGCATTGCTTTTGCAAGAGTCCATCTTTCCATTAAAAAGACCTTGAAACAACCGCACCTCATTTTAGGGTCATTTGCTCATGGTGTGTGCAAGCTGCATGGGACATGTAGACTAAACCTAAGCGAGGCTTCTGCCTACTTGGGTTTAACCATTAATGTTCATGAGTGCCTTGCCTTCGTTTTTTTCACACTGCTACAAGGTGCATCTGTGAGCACTTGATAGAGTGGAGATAACACCGATTCTGAGGGCTTTATCTGTGGTGATCAGTACCACAACAGTAAATGGCAGCTGCCAGCCCATTGAAACTGTGTCCCAAGAACAGTCATTATTTAAACTTATAGCATTATAGAATAGTCTTTCAGAGATATGAGTAAAACACATCAATTTTTTCCGTTCTGGTGTCTTTATATGTCTGCCTTCTGAGAGAATGAATATTTTGGTAATATCAAACTCCTTAACTGGTTTTTCCCCCCATTTGGTGTGGTTTCATTACTCAGGAGAGAAGAGAAAAATTAATGAATCTTATTCTGTGGAGGATGCTAAAAAGCCAAGAGTTGTAGGAGACATTCCTATTGAATTAATCAATGAAGTGATGTCAACAATTACGGATTCAGCCGCAATGCTTGGTCCAGAGGTAAGAAATGTAGCTTTGGCAGAACCATTCATGTCAATTCAGAATGTGGCAAATTAACTTTCTTAGCTACAGATTATCAATAAGTTTATGGATTGTGATTACTGATTATTGAAAATACCTAGATAATGGTTTTATTTCAAGTGATTTTTAGGATATTTTCAAGTAGGGGTCATAATATGATTCATAGTACAGCCAACAAAATTAGACATACAAAGCTGACTTAATTTCTGCAATGACTAAACAGAAATAAACTGTTGGCCTATCCAGCCCAGGATTTTCTACTCCATCTTTCTTACTACCTGCCTGATCCTTTTTATAACTGGAGATAGAAACTAGGATCTTTTGCATACACAGCTTATTTTATACCACTGTTATATGGAATTGAACCTTGTCCCTTCTATAGGGTACATAATTATTTGTGATTAAGAGTAATTTAAAGCATTATGTTGTAATGTATTCAGTAAAATAAGTATTTTTAGTCTAATTTAAAAGTTTTACCACACCATAATCTTGTAACATTCTTGGTTAAAAATGCTTTAAGCTAAAAGATTTCTGAGATAGAAGAGTTGGTATGAAACTAGCATACCTCTAAAGGTAAAGTTTTAAGTGTCATTTCAGAATTTCTTCACTGGGACTAATTTTAACATGTTTTTAGTTGCTAATACTTAGAAGCAGAGCTCATGTGCCTGCTTTGATTCAAATAGCTACTTTTTGTCAAGAGAAGACACTGGATTATTCTATGTCTCAAGTCACATGCAGTGAACCAGTGAAGTCCCATTTTGGTTGAATCCTCTTCTGTCTGTAGGATGCATAATGGTCTGCTAGACTGTGACTGTAGCATGGAGGAACAACTGTATTTGCCAGTGGGTAGACTGAGGATTTGTAGTGTGCAGGAAATGGTCTCTGCTTCCTCAGTATGACTGGTAGACCTTTTCTCCTGTTCCATTCCTCCTATCTGATCATGTGTTGCCTGTTTCTAGCTCAGTGACTGGCTGAAAGCAAGCTGCCTGATTCTGGATTTTAGGGAGACAAGGGAGATGCAAAGACATGTAGACGGTGGGGCTGACTGCTCGCTATATGGCTTCTAGGCCACCAGAAAGAAGTAGGAAGAAAATGAGGTCACCGGGCCCTAGTTCCCATTTATCAGTTCCTAGATTTTTCAAGCCCGGAGTGATCTGTAGCAACCATTCAATAAGCAGGAAGTAGAGAAGGGAAGAACTGTGTGAGTCAGACACATAGGAACACAGGGAGTTGCCCTAGAAGGAGTCAGAGCAGCAGCCCCTCTAGCTCAGAATGGTTGGCACTGACTGGTAGCAACTCTTTTGTGCCTCAGTCAGGCCTTCATCTCGGCTTTACCTGAAGGTCTCAGGGATCATACCTGGGACCCTCCACATGCAAAGCACGTGCTCTACTACTGTGCCACAGCCTCCTTTGCGTGCAAGCTACCATTCACCAGCTACCGTCCTTGTGTAAATTCCCAGCATCACATAATATGAATTGCCCTGCTAGCTCTTCCCATGCTTTGATTATTGTCTTTTGGACCATGCCATGGTTCTTTTTGAAATCCTCAGCAGCAAAATGTTGCTCTGTCAGACAGAAAACAAACAGCTGACTGGCATCTTTGTAATAGTGAAGTTAAGATGCAATTGAATTTGAATCAAACGCTTGCTTTTTTGTGATGTTTTGTTCTGCGTGACTAGCTTTTTTTATTCTGAGGAGTTGAAAAAGAAGTGAACATTTAAGTGAATTTACAATGATATTCCTACTTAGAATAAGTTAACAATGATCTCTCTCTCTCTCTCTCTCTCTCTCTCTCTCTCTCTCTCTCTCTCTCTTTACATGGTCGCTATGTAAGTTGATGAGAATTTAGTTTGAATTGTTTTATACTTTTCAAATTCTTGGTCAGTCGACAGCTTAGGTGCTTTCCTAAAAAGTTTGAAGGGTGCTCTGTCAAAATATACGGGACACACTTCCAAGTCTATGTGCAGATCATATGCAAAAACAAAGTAATACAGACTCTCCAATGTATACTGAACCTATTTCCATGCTTTTCTTTCACAAAGCAGACAAATTTTCTGTCAGCACACTCAGCCAGGGATGAAGCAGCCAGGTTGGAAGAACGCAGAGGAGTGATTGAATTTCATGTCGTTGGAAATTCCCTAAATCAAAAGCCAAATAAGAAAATTATGATTTGGCTGGTTGGCCTACAGAACGTATTTTCACATCAGTTACCCAGAATGCCAAAAGAGTATATTACTCGGCTGGTCTTTGATCCGTGAGTATCTTCTCTTTCTTTCTCTCTCTTCCTCATGGGAAAAGTAGAACAAGAAATATGATAGCTTTCCCTGGTTGAGCTAGTTTCTAGAAACTCCGAGTCAGTTTTTAAACTATACATGGAGCACAGAATCAATGTTCAGAGGAAAAATAAAGTGTTGAAAAAGATGCTGCAAAATAAAAGATCACCAGATGCTTCTCAGGTTCCTTGAGGGTTTCTCTGCATGAGGCATTGATTGTGCTCTCATGATCCTTCACTCATGGAAGTTTGAAGGGCCTTTTTCATGACCGTGACCTCATCCAGTGGTTGTCCCCTGTCATTTAGCTGCTGCTGCTTTTTCTCTGCGTGGAGAAAATGTGGTGGTATTTTTATTACCACTTTGATATTGCCAGCAGACTTGAGTATAGTTTTGTCATAGCGGCATGTTCCATGTCCCTTGGGAAGGGTGTGCGGTTGTGTGAGCAGCAGTGAAGCAGTGTGGGAGTGGTGCAAGCTACAGCCTCACTTTGCACTTGCGACGCTGGGCCATTTTTCCACTGCCAGTCCATGCTCATGCTTTCTTCCCTTCCTCTTCACTCTACTCTCTGCCAGTTCTGCAGCAACGAGGGTGTGGGTTCTTTCAGGCAACAGAAAATCCTCATCTTGTTGGATATTCAGGGAAAAAGGAGCAAGGTAGAGTTGGGTGGAAGGACCTCATGCAACATGGAAATCTTGCGGTTGTTTTCTTGCCTTCCTGCCCTCCTCCATAGCTTCTTGTTCTCTCTCTGACTCGCAGGTGTCCCTGTTGTCCCACCCCCTGTAGGCTGAAAACATCAAGTTTATGGTGTCTTTTCAAGCTTTCCTGATTGCCTCCTTGGCCCTCTTGCTCAAGAAACAGCTAGTTGAACTCCTTGCTTTCTCTGAAATAAATCAGATTATCTTCAGTGGCTTTCCAAGTCAATCACAGTGACTTCAGTGGAATTAACTTATGACAGGGGTGGGAGGCAGGTAGGAATGCTGCATGGGAGGTGGCTGTACTTACTTGCCTTCAGGTGGAGGGGATGTTGGCATTTGCAATCCCGATATTCCCTGGGCCCCCAAAAGATGCATCTGGAGAGGAACTTGCAGCTGAGAATGGCACAGTAATACTGCCATACCAGTCTGACCAACACTCTTTCTCTCTCTCTCAATCCTTCTGTCTCTCACACACACATGGGAAAAAAACGGGGGATGTGAGGGAAGGATGTCTGGCAGGCAGCTTCCTTCCATGAAGGAATAGGGAAAACCTGCCCAGGACTGCACATTTCATAGGACAAAGGGGCACCCTGCTGGGTTCCCAGAGGTGCATTGGGCTGCCACCGCAGCCAACCTCAGTGCAGGCACAGCTGCTAGGGGGCAGCAGACAGTGGAGAGGGGCACGGCCACTGTGATGTTGTGCTTCCATGGGGATGCTTTTGGGAAGCGCCATTCACACATGACAGGTTTTGAAGCTCTTTGTGGCATTATGTTGGAGAGGGGAAAGAGCAGGTGTAGAAAGCCTTGTGTATGATGCAGAAAACATCATAGTGGGACAGTTCTGGAATAAAACCTTCATATAGAAAAGCCCTGAGTGTAGTCTTTGTGGGCTATTTTGATTGATGGTAGAATAAAATGTGTAGGAAATGAGCAAAGAAGCTGGATAGTGAACTGGAAACAAAGCGTGGCCTGTGATTCTAGCTTATTAGGAGAGCAATAAGCCAGGAATCTGACTTTGTTCATTACATATGATGATTCCTGGTTTTTTTTTTTTTCCGCTCCTGCTGGCAGGAGGAACCAAGTAGTAGCAAGAACCAGCATTCATTCCCTGCTCATGCCCTTAGTCATGACAATCCAACCCTGGCAGTTCATTGACTGGAATCAATCTGTGAAACTCTATTCTAGATTACTACACTCTAGATCATGGGATAGTATCCAGTTTGTGTTCCTCTGCAGATCAATGGGAAAGGGAGGAGACAAGTTTTGGTGGCTCCCTGCTCCAGACCCTTACTATTATGTAGGGAGCTGCAGCAGGGAGGAACAGTGGCTGAAAATAACTCTCTCCCTGGTCCATTGACTCATGCCTGTTGTAGCAGAAGGCATTTGTCAGTCTCTACACCAACCGGATACCATCTACAGATTTTCCAACAGTTTTGTTAGCAAAAATGTCTACTGTGCTATTTCTGGAATGCCCCTGTCCACTTGCTTAACATCACTGATTTATTTGTTGTTGAATGAAATATCTTCACTAGCTTGGGTGCCAAAGCACTGCCTTTCAACTGATCTTTTAACAAATACGATGATTTAAGACAGGAAATAATGAGCCAAAGCCTCTCAGTATTTTAGAAGCCCTTCGGTATCTGCTAGCAACTAAAAGCAATGAAGAAACAGAGCAAAAGTTTGCCTCACGTGACTTAAAAGATTTTCCAGCTGATACGTGATCAAAATGATTCCTTGTGCAATTTTCTTTTTATTTATCTCTGTAAGATGACTGTTCTTCACGTTTGCCTATCCATGGCTGTTCCAAAAGTGAAAAGATCATGTATTGGAAATTTTTTAAGTAAAGCTATATATAATCAGTGTACAGTCAGTCAGTCCTTGAGTTCTGTTCCTGAGAAAATGGAAATTCATGTCTAAGTCCAGTTTGTGTATAAGTTGAATCACATATAGTCAGCCCTCCGCATTTGCTGGGGTTAGGAGTACAGGACCTCTGTGAAAGTGAAAAAACTGCAGATATCTCTTTAACTCCCCACAACTCACCAGCACCTCCTCTTTGCAGCAAGGAAATGTGAAGCAGATTTCCCTGTTCGGCTGGGTGAGACAGGAAGGCATGCTTTGGAGGTGTCCCTCTCCCCCTTTCTCTTCTTCTCTATGATCATGCTTTGGAAGCCCACCTCTCTTCCCTTTGGCTTCCTCTTTCTCTGTGGTGATGAGAACATTCCTGCATTAATGTTTAAAAATCCATAGGCTGCATAGCAGTTCGTTTGTAAGTACAGGTTTTTCATAACTTGGATGTTTGCAGCTGGAGGACTGCCTATAATGTAGAAATTGAACTTTGCAATGGGTATTTAGGTATCCCTTTGAAAGTGAGCTTAGAAAATGCAGTCTAAACATCCCTTGCTTTAAAAAAAATTGGGGGGCAGTTTCTCATTTAAAATGTTCTATTCACATCAGATGAAATATTTTGCTAGAATTGTACCTTTAGTGTCCATGTAGAACATAACTCTATGCAGAAAGTAGGTATGTTGTCTATTACACCCATATGAATAAATGTTCATATATAAAAATTTTGAAATATAATTGTATAACTACAGGAAACACAAGACTCTTGCGCTAATAAAAGATGGCCGTGTGATTGGTGGTATCTGTTTCCGAATGTTCCCGTCTCAAGGATTTACAGAAATAGTTTTCTGTGCTGTGACTTCTAATGAACAAGTAAAGGTAAAGACAATTTTGGGGAAATGTAAGACATGAACTCATTCCAGAAAAGTCCAGCATAATTGGGTGCTATAGGATCCCTTGTCACTTGATTAGAATGCACTGTGTCCCTTGAGCTTGATCCAGATGAGACAACTGTACTATCTACCCAAGTGTATTTCTGCAGCAGGGCAAACTTACACAGGTTTGGATGCCAAAATAGATTCGGCTGTTACAGCTGCTGAAAGCCTGCCAAATATCAAAAATGTTGTTTGTTAAAACTGCAATGTGTTACATTTTTGTCTCTGTTACTGTGCCATTCTCATAAGCATAGCCTGGTTCTCAAAGAGTGCCCAAACTGATGAATACAGATGTGTATATGGCTGCAGTCCTGTGGGTCACATCTTAATGCTCACAAGCACCAGAACCTGAAGGCTTACAAGCACCCTGTGCAGGGCAGGAAGAGAAGCCGAGGCACCTTCTGCCTCCCTGCACGTTTTCATTCTGCATTTTCTCTAGATAACCAGTTTTGACCAACTACCTGTGGTGCTTTGGAGCAGGGAGGAAGTTGGCTGAGGAGAACACAAGATAGTTCATATCTTGACTTCTGTAGCTCCCTTCTCCCCCAGTTCACTGGAGTGTCCCCATGCCCTCTCACAGGGGCTGAGAGATTAGCCAGCATGACTCTTTCCATACCAGCTGCAAGAGGGGTGGAGGCAGACTGGAGCAGATTCCCGGCTTTGAGGTTGGTTCTGTCTGTGACCATGGCTCTGGGAACCTGAAGTACCCCGTGGCCTCTCAGGCAGTATGCAGGGCCTGTGGGATAGCTCTCCAAGCCTCTTGTCATGCAAAAGGAATCACACAGGCAAATGGGGCTTTCTGTTTCACTCACTGGTTAATGCAGCATCCGTGAAAGTCCTTTTCTTATTTCCAGCTCAGTCCTGGTGCGGATTGCAAGTGTTGGGAAAGGTGTCCAGCACGAAAATAACATTGCATAATTAGAATTGTTATTTTATCTTTGCTAATCTTGGCTGATATGTTCCTTTAGGTAGGACATCTGTTGTGGAATGTGGGGTGGGAGAATCCGCATAATACAAGCTGTAAGGCTGAGCTGAAAGCTCACTTCAGCCATGAAATTGCCAAGTTGCCTTAAGCAAATTATTATCAGCCTCCTTCCTAATATTGGGGTGATAATGATAATAATACGGCTTCTGTTACCAAAAAGGTAAAACAGTTTCTGAAATATTGAATGTGGCACACCTTGAGCTTGGGATCACACGGTGCACCTTTTATCATGCCCCTCCCACCGATCTTTCCCCTCTCCCCCCCTGCCCCCAGCAGTTCTGATGAAGGTTCAACTCTGAAACATGATTCAGCATTGGACGTGCAATTAAAAAGAAAATTGGCAGTCGCTTTCCTTGTCAGCAGAAGCGTTTTCCACTCTCAGGCAGACTTCTTTAGGTTCCAAACCATTTCTTCAATTTTTTTCTTCCACATCCTAAAATAAGATTCAGGGTTTGGTTTGGTTTAATTTAATTTTCAAACATTTATATCCCGTCCTTCCGACAAACAGCTCAGGACGGCTTACAACAATTTAAAATATTACAATAATACAATAAAACAGCAGATATTAATATAAAACAGCACATCATAAAACTAAGGGAAAGAGAGGAGGAGGAAAAGAATAGAAAATGTGACTGTGGGAAAAAAGATCTTAAAACATCTAAAAACCTTAATTATTAAAATGATGGTTGAATACAAAAGTCTTTACCTGGCGCCAAAATGAGCATACAGTTGGCACTGGGCAGACCTCTCTGGGGACCACATTCCATATTCGTATTAGTGTTTATATTGGTGTTTTGCATTCCTCAAAGATTATTTCTATTGTATTTTATTGTCTTGCTTTTATGGATTGCTGTAAACCTCCTAGAGTTTCAGCTATAGGGGAGTACAGAAAAGAGAATAACAATAATAATTGTCCTAATAATTTATATGCAGGGCTATGGAACTCACCTAATGAATCATCTGAAAGAGTATCATATTAAGCACAATATCCTCAGCTTTCTTACATATGCAGATGAATATGCAATTGGTTACTTCAAGAAACAAGTAAGTAGTCTGTGCAAAGAACTGAAATTTTAAGAACCCTGAGGGAAGCCCTTTAGGTAGATGTTCATGAAAACTGAGCAAAAAAAAGCCTTTATGCCTTGCATCTAAAGAGCATGATTTGTACATCCAAGTTCTGGCTTTTTTGATGATGTTTAATTGTGGTGCTGTGTTTTGCTATGTGATTCAGTGATAGTGCATGTCATTTTCATCACTAGCGCCCCACACTCCGAGCAGGAGAACCATCTCTGGTGAGGAGACACTGGGTGTGGTAGGGAGCAGTCGCATGGTCATTAGCGTTGGCCCCAGAGGCTGGCGCCTGAAAGAACTCCCTGTATGCAGACGCTGTGCTGGCTGGAGTGGTTCTTTGTTCGTCTTTTTATATCCACTGCCACAGATGAGGTTCCATTCCCCCTGGATATAAAATTGTCACCCGACAGGGTGAATGACCATTATGTGGTGGCCCTGGTCTGAAGAGACCTGACCATATATTTTATATTTTTATTTATTTTATATTGTTAATTTTAATTCTATATTGTTATTTTTGTATTATATTGTGTTTGTAAGCCGCCCCAAGGCTTTGGCAAGGGGCGGCAGAGAAATGTTATAATAATAATAATAATAATAATAATAATAATAATAATAATAATAATAATAAAGCTGATCCTATTCCACCAGGTATTTGGGAATTAGCTGGCATTTCTGCCATTGCTTTATATTGTTTTAAAGGTGGCACTCATTCCTGCTTTCGCTGATTCTGTTTCTGTATAAATCACCTTGTGGACATTTTTGTTAGACAGTGTAGAAATCGTGCTAATGAAATGATTTTCCTTGAATGGCTGTTCATGAGCTGCAGTTTCCAAAAGTATTTTCAGACTCAACCTGCAATCCAGTTACCTACATAGACGTAAATCCCACTGAGTTCAATTGGACTTGCCTCTAGGCACTGGTTGACAGGTTTGCAGCCTTAGGTAATATTGGTAACAAATGAAAACCTACTAAAATTTGTAGGGCTTTTAATTTTTCTAAATAGGTACTGTTGTGGCACAAGGCACTCATCTTGCCTTACTAGTGCAGTGGGTGCCTGTTCTTAATCTTCCTGTTGAAATGGCCCTCTGCTGCTCCCTTAAAGAAATCAGGTAGATGATCAGTCTCCTTCCTGCGTCACAATGCCACAAGCTCTGCTTCTTCAAAGGAGCAGTGCTCCTCTCAACTACCTGCTGTTTCAAGGAGATGTCGCCCATATCAAAAGATTGAGGTGATGAAAGGGAGATACGTAGATGGCAGAGCTAGTGATGGAGCTACTTCTCTGCTTCTGCTTGTTTCAGGTTGCCTGCCTCCCTTTCACTGTAGATGGAAACCAATAGCAGTTGCGTATCCACCATGCTAATGATGCTTCTTTATAACAAACTATTTATCTGAACATCTCCCATGTGTCTTGATTTATGTATTTATTTTTTGCTTGCTTGCTTGCTTGTTTTAAGTAGCAAGTATCTTCAGTCCATATATGAAAATGCAGGATGACTTGGAAAAATTGATGTAGATGTAGGTTATTGGTAAAAGAGATATAACAATATATAGACTGGTCATAGGCAAATGTTTAATTTGAAAATATATAGGTTGCTGAATTATACATTCTTCTATTGCAGTCTAGCTGCAGAATGGCTGCTGCAAAGCACACGAGGGACAGGGTCACTAATGCGTCCACAAAAAATTGCACAGGTTTTATTAGAAGATGTTGGAAAGCCAAGCCAGAAAAATGCATTGACTCTTTTTTCCTTAGGGTTTTTCAAAAGATATTAAAGTACCAAAAGCAAAATACGTTGGTTATATCAAGGATTATGAAGGAGCAACTTTAATGGGATGTGAATTAAATCCAAGGATACCATACACTGAATTTTCTGTCATCATTAAGAAGCAGAAAGAGGTAAAAGCGATTTTATATATTAATCAGATGTTTATTATAAAATGCTAATACACTGGTACCTGCAAGTATTTCTTTGCAATAGTGTTTATTTCATCAAGTGGATAGAATGAATTAAACTGAGTGGCTTTGGGAAACAAAGCAGTAATAGTTTTGGATCTGGAAAGCTCATATGATTTCTGAAGTATACATTTCTCACACAAATAATAGATGCTTTCCCTCATTGTATGACAAGCCAGCCAGTGAATGTTCCATATAATTCCCTTACCTAATCTGCACTATTGTTGGAAATACGATTCTTGACACTGAGAACAAAAAAGCTTATTTATTTGGTTTATGCAGTCCTATAGTCTACTGAGAAGTAAATCCCATTGGGTTCAATGGGTGTACAAAATTAGCAGCTTGAGTAACTTGATCCAGCAATGCATAAAGTGACCTTTAATAGAGGAGGCAGCTCAAATGGGCTTCCATCGTGTCATCCTGTACACATTACATCACCCATGGCAGTTACATCAGGGAAATGGTAGATAAGGAACCCTCTCTTCTAGTTTTCATCCAGTGAAGTAACATGCCAGGTTGGATAAGTAGCATGATGCAGAGTTGCATATGATGTGCAAAGAAGGCTTCATGGATATCTCAGATGCCTGAACGCGGCCATCTTAAGACTGACTCTGCAGAGACCATGACCCCAACATCAAGCCAGGCTTCTACACTCTTCTACTACCCACTGCTTTTTGTAACATCTTGCCTGATTAGGAGACTTAGAAACCAAGCAAGGTTTAGTTGGCATAATAAAGGTATGGCACTAATATGGATTTTGGGAGCTTGTACTCCTGACCTTGTTTTCATACCTTTACTCCACGTTGGTTCATTCTAATTTATTTGACTTTTAGTCTGCTCCATTAGCCACAAGACTCCATGGGTAGGTTACAGTCACCCATGTACAATAAATAAGATCATATAAAAGACCATATAATAAAACACTAAAATCACAACATTAGACTCTTAATCATAAAACAGTAAGATACTGATAATATCAGAGTCCATGGCATGTCACTTGGAAGTCAGTCCCATTCTTGTCAATAGGGCCTACTCTCAGGTAAGTGAATATACATCACACTTCAAAATTACAATTGCAACACTGTTTCTGTTACAGATCATTAAAAAGTTGATTGAAAGGAAGCAAGCTCAGATACGGAAGGTTTATCCTGGTCTTTCCTGCTTCAAAGATGGAGTACGACAGATTCCTATAGAAAGTATTCCTGGAATTAGTATGTACCATCTTCTGTCAGTGACTGCTGGGTTCAGTTTTTAAAATGTGCTTCTATTATTTTTGAGTGTACTTAGAGTGTCATCCCATGCATGTCATTGTCAATTTTATCAACTTTATTATTTTTCATACTGCCCCATAGCCAAAGCTCTCTGCATGGTTTGTTGTACTGTCATAAAACAGACAAGAACGCCATAAATTCCAAAATACCATACGATAACCTTTGGGATTAGGCAAAGAAAATCTGCTTATGCAGCTCTCTGTACTCCCTTCCATAACCCATTACCCACCCACTCCCAGTATCCCCTGAAGTCTGGCATACTCTTAGGTAAAAAGGCACATGAATAAGAATGCTGCTGCAAGAGAAAGTGTGTGGCAGGATTGTAAAGAGTCTGTGGGGTTGCACTGTAAAATGGAAAAGTCTTTCTGCTCACAGAGGTCATCTTGGATGCACCTGAATGAGTGCTGCATTGCCGTACAGGATTATAGCCATAGTCTCGCTAAGCGGATAAATTTGAGGAAAAGTCTCATAACAGCATGAATAGTTGAATCTGTGAAGGACAACTTCTAGGGATCCTGGAGCCAATTCTTACCCAATACAGCAGCTCAACACACACGCACACACACAGAGAAGCATCTAGGGACAACATAGAATTTGCTGCCAAAATTCAGTAAGGTAGCAACCAAACTTAACAGTTTTCCCTTTAAAACAAGATGTACAGGGGACATGAACTTCATTTTAAAGCAAGCAGCATCTACTGGAGAATTCCAGGAGTGTAATTTCATTTTAAAACAAAGTGGATGCTTCTTACATGCCGTGTTGTAAGAGGCTGTGTTTGTTGCCACTGGGCTACTGAATTGGGCAGAACTTGTGTGCTACAAAATTGGCTGTGGGCAGGGGCTTGCGGAGGCTATGGGTTGCCCACCACCAATTTAAAACAATCACATTTTTTTACATTTCATATTTTATTGGCATACTTCAGAATGGTGTGTTGTCTAAATAAACAAGGTGGATTTAGGATTACATACTGTAACTATTATTTTGTTTGCTCTGTAGGAGAGACTGGATGGAAGCCAAGCGGTAAAGAAAGAGGGTAAGCATTATTTGGATAAGGGAGTGAAGAAACTCCTCCTGAAGTAGAGAAATCCCCTGTAATCTTGAAATAGCTGCATATTGTTCAACTTCAAAATACCTGAGGAAGTGTGTGTCTAGTAAACAATATTTTAAATGTGTAATGTTGCTTTTGAAAAGAGCATTATAAAAATAACCCCATACATTTTAATATCGTCTGTATTTTCTTTCAAGTAAAGAACCCAAAGACCCAGATCAGCTTTACAGCATACTAAAAAACATTCTACAACAGGTCAAGGTAAGCACCGATTTTTGGTTATGTATGTATGTATGTATGTATGAGATGATGGTGACTGGGAGAGCACTGACCCATGATCCATTTTTTCTTTTCCGAAGAGCCATCAAAGCGCTTGGCCTTTCATGGAACCAGTGAAGAGAACAGAAGCTCCTGGATATTATGAAGTGATAAGATTTCCCATGGGTAATGCTATTAACCTTTTTATTTAAAGTAGAGATGCGAGCATATCTCAGGGGAAGAAATGGTTTTGAGCCTGAAAGCATTAAGTAGCAGAAAGGAATCTGTGAGTTCATCTCTGTGAACTTTTGTACAGGCACCAGTAGATAAGCTCATTACCACTTGCATTATAATATGCAGGCCATGTAGCATACAAACCAGTGGACCATAAGAGTTGGTGCAGAGTTGGTCAGAAATAGACCTTTCATGAGCAGAAATGGCTTTGCACCTGCAGAAACCTTTTTGGAGTCAGAGCCCTAAGGGTGTGCACTGACCGTAAGATTTTGTTTCAGTCTAGTGCAGCAAATCAAAAACCAGTCCAATTCAGCTTGAACTAATTTGGACTCCACGTGATTCATATCAGGGGTTATACTGAAATAATAATATAGAAATCCAAAGCTTTATCCCTCTGATTTACTATCAGTGGAAGTCAGTAGCGTTTGTTTATTTGAATAATTTGATGGAATTTGCAAGTGTAATAACCCCTTGTGAATGGATGAAATTAGCCAAATTGCAAACATACAGGGACATTAATATAAGGACAGATTATATTATTTGATGTTTTATGGTGCTTCCCCAAGGAAGCACTTCTCTCCCTGTTGTATGTGGACAAATGTTTTATATATAACATACAGCATAGAGGCCAACCTAGAGAAATCTGCAGAAGTTCGGAAGGCTAGGGATATCAAACTTTGCAGTAGTCTCCAAACTTGAGGAGGAAGGAGAGATCCCATTCTCCCTCTTGTAGATGCTTCTTCTGTATGAAAACTGAATGATGTCATGAAGAAACTTATAAAATTTCAGAAAGATATGTGGAAGGAGAGTTATGATGAATGCAGAACAGTTTAAGTCTAAGTGTTTTCTGTTCCATTGGCACCAAAATGACAGAAAGCGCAATAGGACAGAAGTGGATAATGAATGTGGAACATCACAATAGCAAGGACTTGAACATCTAAATTTTCCAAGCACCCAGTGCAACCTTCACATCCTAATTCCCATTTTATACTTCTGCAGCAACTTTATTTACCTCACAAGCTTACACTGTAGTTCCTCTTATTCTTCTCCCACTTATATTTCCTCCCATCCTTTGGGTGAGCATGCAGGTCAGTCTTCCTTCCCCCTCCCTTGCCAGAAAATACATTATTTCTTTCAAACACCCACAGGTTTGAGCCCTTGCTCAGTTTTCTTTCACACAGTTACAAGAACATTTCTCACAATCCTTATTCTGTGCACTGCAGTCCTTGTTTCAATTTATGGTCTCCAGAAAGTCCTGCCCTTGACTACCTGCTCAGTTTTTTGAAACTCAAGGCTGTGGATTCCTTTATATCCACAGAAGGACCAAGGGGGAGGGAGCCAACAACCCACAGTAAGCCTAATAATTTTGAGTGCACTGTCAATTGTTTGTGAAATAACAACACAAAGTTGCTTATTGCCAAAGGTGGGCTAGTGCCTTTTCTGTCTCTCTGGAAGCTGGATCACTGACCTTCAGAATTCAGATTTAGATTTAATTTGGAAAAGGCCTGCTTCAGCTTGTGCATATTCCAAATCTTTCTAAATTGGTTCTGCTCAGCAGTCAGACAAATCCAAAGCACAGTCCCTAACAATTTCTTACAGTAACCAAAGAACTTGGGACACAAAAATTGCTTTATATAGGACTGCCGCCCTCCCCATACAAGTTTGACCTGTTGGTGGGTACATATCGCCTTCCATAGGAGGTACAATTTAAGGAGATGAAATTGCTGAGACGGCTGGCTTTTCAATAGTGGAAGGAAAAGAGTTTTTCCTTTGTAGTGTATTGTACTGTCTGTCCTTTATTCTTTTTTCCCACTTTAAAAATGCCACCTACTGTGCTAGTTCTTTTTCACACTATTTAAGATTCAGCCTCTTAGGGCAGCCAGAGCACAATTCTCCCATTTCATTCAGTTGAAGTATTTTTGCTCCCCAACCTGAAAAAGCATCAACTGACCACCCCAATTCAACATCTGTAAATGGGAGTCTGGTTTGCTACAGCCGCATTATACAATTACAATCTGAATACATAGCATAGGCATGTGGTGAGTAACATAGACACAGTTACCATGTTGATTCTATACAATTTAAATAATGTTCGCCAAATTGTCTATGAATTGGAATCTTTTCACTATAGGAGGAAATATTAAACTTTTCCAAATCTGGGGCATACTATCATAGCAATAAAACTTGATGCTTGTTTTTATATAGATCTGAAAACTATGAGTGATCGACTTAAGAACAGATACTACGTGTCTAAGAAGTTATTCATGGCAGATTTGCAGAGAGTCTTTACTAACTGCAAAGAGTACAACCCACCTGAAAGTGAATACTACAAATGTGCCAATATACTGGAAAAGTTCTTCTACACAAAAATTAAAGAAGCTGGATTAATTGACAAGTAATGATTTTCCTTATCTCATGCAATCAAGAGGACCTAATTTAAGAACAGAATATGCAGTTAAATTTTCAATAGAATTGGAACTTGTGTTTCAAAATTTGTTTTATTAACTAGCACTTTTAAAACATGTAATATAGAAGAGTTTATTTTATTACAGTCTTTTTAAATGTACACCTGCATGCCCTTTTGCAGTGTATTCAATTTTTATTAGACGTATTGCACAAACTGTTTGGAGATCTGGAAAGGGAAATTTTTCCAAGCAGTGAATGTTTAAGCTTAATGTTAATGCAGTATCAAATTGTAAAATAGCGTTTTATTTTTTACAACAAAGAAACTGATGAAGGGGAAAATGAGTTTTATATATATTTTAATGAAACACTCAAAGTAAGAGAAGGTGCTATGAAAGGGTAAGGAAGACCTGTTTTAAGCTATAAGGATGAAAATCCCTAAATAGATGCAAATTTTCTCCATAGTTTGGTCCTTGTTGCGTGTATTTGCAAAGAAAATTTGACATGATATGTAGCACAATGCTGACTTTAACTGTGTAGGTTATGTTCCCAAATGGATTTAAAAATCTGTTGCAGTCAAAAACTATTATTCTTTATAGGGTAACGCCAGATGCCACAAGTAATTTTAACTGATGCACATACATCTGTGGCACACATTTTTCTGATTAGCGTGCTGTGACCTTTGGTGTCTCTACCCAGCCGTGGTTCTCCATTCCCATCAATCTTGATGTAGATCAGAATGGGTTCCTTCAACCTATTATGACAGGTGCTGCTGTCTTCTCTCTTAGGGTGTATGTACACAATGCCTTGTGCATGCAGTTTTTTCTGGACTGACACTTCCAAAGGTTTCATAAAACTTCATAAAAGCAGATTTGAGCATACCTTCCTCTCAGTGTTAACATGGTAGCTTCTGTCTTGTATCAGTTACATTAAAATATTTTCAACCAAAGTTCTAAAACAAGTTATTTTAATTATCTAATTAATAATAATCTAATTATTATTAATTACATCTATGCTTGAGCTGCGCCTTATATTATTCATAGGAAATGCATTCATGCAAATAGTTGTCCTTGTCAGATGAAGAAATACCGACTAACCACTGAGTTTTCCTATAATGTCTTTCACAATACTGCAGGGAGAGGAAGAAAGTGGCATCCCACTAATTTCTTCTTCCCAAGTTTTATTTCTACAGTGGCACTGGAGGAGTAAAATTTCATGATGTTGTATTTAGTGAATATTTCACTAGTAAACTGCTGTAGAAATTTGGCCAATTGTTTTACAAAAGAATTTTTTTTCAAGATGCCTATAGTAGTGTTTATTCTAATCCTAAAACTAGATTCACTTGATAGAAGGAAATGGTACAAAAATAGTAAAAATGGTAACATAGAAATGCCTTAGTGCTTTATATAAAATCAGATTTGGCTTTGTATTTAAAGGTACAATGATGCAACTGTGTATTAGAGTATTTAAGTAGTAATTTTCAAGTATTTTGTAAACTGGGCCAACAGAATCACCTCTTAAGCTTGATATCCTGTGAAAGTGTTATTTTCAAAGATTCTTATTGTCTTGAAATTAGAGTTTCTTCTATATTGAAAACATTTGGTTTCTAATTTAAAGATTATTTTCATAGATATTGTGCAATAAAGCTATATATAGTATGATGTGTTTTAAAAATGCTTTAACTGAAATTTTACATTTGTAAAATTATTTATTGTATTGGTATAAAATGGTTTTAAATTATATGTATAAAATTAATCTGGTGTGCTATTTTGTAATTTGCTTATAAAAAAACCTTAAGTATTCAACACGTGTTCGGAGTTTTTCATATTACTTTTGGATATGCTTATGTTAGGAATTCTGTGCCAAAATGTTCAACCATTTGATCAGAGAAGTGTCAAAAGAAATCCCATATGAGCATCACGGGAAAGGTATGAGAATTTTCTGAGTAATTCTTTGGGTCTGGACCTTTGGCACTTACTGTTTTGAGGTGGCAAAGAGCTATATGCTTGTTTTCGCTCTTTAAAGTCTACGTGCTGGACAACACCACACTTGCAAGGATTCTTTTATTGCCTCCTGGGAGTGTCCTGCAAACACAGGGGAGTTGTAGTAGTGCCCAGTGTCTTCCATGTCTGAACAGAGACAAAACAGTGCGACACATGTTTTGGGCAAGGGGAAACCGGATTTTCTAAAGTTCTGAGAGCTTCAAGAGCTTAGGAAAGGCACCCACCACTTTCTGAAATGGTCATGTGACCACACTATTAGTCCCTCGCCCTACTCCAGTACTGCTGATGAACTGAAAGCTTGTTGTGAAGAGCCCTGCAATGCTGCAAAAAACTGAGCGGGATGGATGGAAGTTTAAAAAAGGTAGAAAACTTCTTGGTCACCTCATTCATTGAGTAAGTAGTTATGAAATTCTTGCAGTCCCCTTTCCCACTAGAATGATGGTGACAGATGATATCACCTGTGTATGTAACAAAGGGTATTCACTGTGTCAAGCAAATGCTGTGCAGCTGCGTATGATCACTAGCTTTTCTGTGGACATACTTCAGACCAAATATAAAAATTGTGTAAAAGCAATTCAGTGACTGCCAAAAGGCACTAGTCAACATTAATTACTTGTTAGAAGCAATTTTGTCTATGTACTTATTTTGAAATATTGCTTCCCTGTTCTTCCGGCAGAAAAGGTTCCTAGAGCAGCTTACAAAGATCAGTGGGAAAATCATTGTCCTCTTAAAACATGACCCAGATGGAGGGAAAAAGAAAAGTCCACACTTGGGGATTAGTTCTTAGTTCCAGAAGTTGCTGTAACTACTAGTTTGAACACAGGGTTCAGGAAGAGAAGACTCTAAAGATGGTTGGTCTCTCAGCTGACAAAGGACTCCCTCTGCTACAGCCTTCTGGAATAACTACTGCCAGGCAACACTGGAGGGAAGAAACTGATGAAACTGGTTTGAATGAATGAATGAACTTCATTAACAAAAATTTGCATATTGAGAATTGTAATGCGAGATTCAAAACATCTTAAGATAGAAATGTGATACAACTATATCTGTATTTACTTAGAAGTCTCACAGTGTTCACTTGGGTTGCCAGATAAATATGTTTGCAGTGTTACAGAACTGTGGTATTGTAGTTCCACTGTTTCATAGTTGCAGAGACAAGTGAATATACATTGGAATAATAATACTAACATGGTAGCATGCTAAAGTGGAACTACCTTTTTATTATTACCCATTTAATTATAAATTTCAATGTAAATAAGAGTAATTTTAGAAAATACAAAGAAAGTCGACAACTGTACTTGTAATCACATGCTTTAACTATCTACGCTGCACACTAAGCAGTTAATAAAACCTACATTTTTCAAATACAAAAAACATTGTGCTCTACCCTAGGAAGCCTACCACATTCAGGACAGAGAAGCAACTACTGAAACTAGACCATTTACATCCACTAACTCATTCTGTTACTGCTACAGAGCTTTTAAAATATAATGAGGAATTAAGTTGCAGTGTATGCATATTATGGAGAAGAGTTTTATCAAATAATTATTCACCCTAAACTGTAAGGAAAACAGTTATATGTACAGGCATATATTTAAAAAGTTCTTGCAACTTTACCTTCATAGCTTAATACTAAAATTGACAGGTTTTGTTCCTTCAAAAAGTTCCTAAAGGCAACCAACAAACGCCTCATTGTATCTGGACAGTGATTTCTTTTTAACAGACTTGCGCGTCTTCTTTTTATCTTTAAAAATTGGAGAATCAAGAAAACCAGTGTCTGTAAAAGGGTCGCCTCTTCTGAGCTTCCTATCAAAACAAATTAGCAAAATAGTAAACAATAAATATTGTAGTCCTTGCCTTGTTAATAGCGTTAATGATATAATTAATAATATAAATAAGGAACAACTCTCGGATAAGACTGGATTTTATCTTCAGACTATGTTTCTAAACCAAAGATACAACTAAAGAAACAGATCATAACCCTGTGAACTGAAAATAAAATATACTAACCCACTGAGAGTTGGCTCCTTATAACTCACAGAAACAGTACATCTACGTTTGTGGTATGAAATGCCATTTACTTCCATATTTACAGGTGAGTGGGAAAGTCTAGTTTGGCCAGTTGATGACGATTCACGGTTGGTAATATCACTAAGATGGAGACGATGTTTCTGAAGAGCCTCAGATGGTCTATCTGATGAAAGAAGACATTATTTTTCCTGTTTAGTCCCTTACCATTTAAACTTATACCCCAACTCCCTCACCCACCTTTGAATTGCTTCAAACAACACAGTTACCTATATCACACAACTTAGTTCTTGCTTGGAAATTATCACCACCATCAATTGCCAAAGTGCTACAATGTGTGTTTTAAGTGAACTTTCTCCACAAGAAAAAGCCATTTTGACATAAGTCCAATTTCATAGTTCCCCAAAGAAAGATGAAGTCATAAAGCTACCACATTAGATTTACTGCCTCAAGCATAACTGGTGGGACCAGAAGAGTGGCAGGCTTGGAGACAAAACTTACTCTGGCATCAGATCATTATGTCAAGCAGTGAAGCTCAATAGTCTCCCCAAGGAAATCCACAGGGCCTAACTGTACGAGATCAGTACTGTTCCATGCAATACAGATGCCACACAGCAAGATTTCAGCCTATAGCCGAAGCCTCCCTTTCTTCCAGTGAAAAGGCTACAATCATTTTTATTGAACACAGTGTGGTCTAGTTTTCAAAAAATAATAAATGGACTGTTAGATAAATCAAAATATAAAATACACAAAAGTATTAGTCACTGTTAGTATTTATGATGTGTAAATCAATTTTGTTGACAAGCCGCCTATGTCCAAAATGTTACAACTACCTTTGCAAGTACACTTAAGTGGCGTGTTTCCTGGGTATAAAAACCATTCACATAATCAACTGAATGGAATCATACTAACAGCACCTAACAGTAACAAAATAAAGCAGAGCTACCTTTCTCAGAGTTGCTATTTTCATTAGCAGAGTTCCTACCGCATACTTCATCCTCAGCCGTGACAGCAGGAGCTGAACAGTGTACTAGTGCAACAACTTTTATGCCAATGTTGGATCCACTGTTTTTCTGAGAGGAACTTTCCTCTTTAGTATTTTCAAGGGGACCTGTAAGATACAGAACAGTCCCAATTTCTCAAATTATTATACCCATGTTCCCTTAGCAGCTGTTTTCACCTTGTGTCAGATGGTCAGGCTCACTGGGTTGTTCACTATCTCAGTCCTCCCCTGGGCATCCCTATGGTAACACCAAGTTGTCTTTCCCTTCTCTGCTGTGATCATGAGCTCTTTTCAGCTCAGTGTGGTTTTTTCGTCACTTCATTTTTCACAGAGATTGCAAAAGCCAGCGGATAGTTCCTTCAAAGTGCCCAAACTGCACACTGAGGGGGCTGCCAGTTGAAAACATTGTTTCCTTTGCATTTGCTGTCATAGTATAACCCCAGACAAAGAGTGAGAGACTCCAAATAGGATTTTCCTCCCTTGGGTTCTCTTGGCTGCTATCAAAAGATAAGAAATATGTATCAAAAGGGAAATCAAAGTGTGAGTGATGGGACTTGCCCTCACTTAGCAGTCCGAGCTTGTTTTTGTTTTGCTAAATTTGATTGTCCTAAGGTGATAACACTAGTCCAGTTGTCCCCAAGACTCTGGATGCTCAAAGACAAGGAAACTATTTAAAAGGAACCAGCATTCTGACAGCTTGCTATCAAAATTCTGATTCCCTTTCAAAGGCTTTTCTTAACAAGGCTCTCTGATTTTTTTTATAAGGACATACGCATTTATGTATGCATGTATCCTTGTCAAGATATCATGGGACCACTGTCCCAAAACACCTTTAAAAAGCAGTATCACTAGAAAGGGCTAAAAGGGCGGCATTGAGCTGAAGAAGTTCCCAATCATGGCAAAGGGCACACATCCATTGCCAGTTGTCCCAAAGTGCTATTTGGGAACTTGGGAGTACCTAACACAGGTAGATGCCCAATCAAGCTTGACAAGGGTTTCCACCACTCTTGCCAAACAAACTTCTGGATAGTTCCCTCTACATACAATGGGTTAGCTACACAGGCTCAGATGACACAACAACCTACCATGTAAGAACCCATAGAACAAGCCATGAGTTGTCAAGAAAGGAAGTGTGTTGCCGTCAAACAAGCCACCTTGTGGAAATCCATCTGGATTTGCATGACTTGACAACATTATCATGTTGTATGAACTGAGTCACTGTCTGCAAGCATGGAGTTTCCTTCTAGCTTTGTCATGACTAACACAATACACATCTATCAAAACCCCTTTAAATGTTTTTAAATGTTGTAATCATATACTGCAGTGCTTACAATACAGATTCTTAGGATACAGTACTCCTTACTTTCTTTATTCTACGAACAGTCAGTTTATCCCAGACAGAGCCAGAACTTGGTGCTACCATATGAAATTTCAATTTGAATTCTGATTTTCTTTTGAATATAGTATCAGCAGCCCACTGAAGCAGGAGGAATCTAAAAGTGGCCAGCTGAGATGCCAGTGCCTGGCTAGAACTGAAGGAGCAGCTTGCTCTACTTCCCAGGTGGGAAATAAAGAAGAAACACATGGCCAGCTGACTGTACTGTCTTTCGCCCTCTGAGAGAGGGTCAAAGGAAGAAATTGTGGAGATCCATTTCTCTCTTATCCCTCAAAATAAAAGAAGCACAGTGGAACTTATAGAACTATTCCAAGAGATTATCTGCCAATGAATGAGTTGGCTTCATATAAAAATGAACACCTGTTGAAAACTGCTGGTATAGAAATAATTTATACAAAAGAAATAGAGCAAATGTAACCACTCTCATAAAGACATCTATGCAAATTGTCACTCAAACACTTTGTTTCTTTATGTTTTGTTCTATTTTACAAAAATGAACACTTTTCAGCATCCCTTTCATAAATCCAATTAGGAAGAAAAAGGTAAGCATCTTATTCTAGATGTTTTTGTTAAAAGGGCAGAAGCAATCTAAATAGGTAATCAAAATGTTTCTTTATAAAAGTTGGAAAGCCAAATGTAAGAAAATATGTAAGTATGTAAATACATAGGCTTGTTCTCTGAAGTAAGACTTAAAAGTCTTACTGCAGACTGGAATAAGACTTAAAGCAAAACCAAATCTAACTTCTGTAACGACTTCTTGTAGATTGTATACTTATCCACTATCAATTTTTCAAAGCATAGTAATAGACAGAACCTACTTGAATTGGTTTTTTTACAAGAATTCTCAGTTTTTTTAGTATTCTTGTTTTTCTTCTCAATATTTTTATCATGTTGCTCATACACAGTCTTCTTCAGTCGTGGTCTTGTGTGCACTGGACTTACGTCAGTATAGGCTGGGTTTTTTCCTGCTTTTGATTTTTTGCTGTAAGGCACATAGAGACTATCATCAGAATCGTCTTCTATAATGAATGATTCACCACTGGAATTTTCCATTTCTTCTGTGTGATTTTTCCCATTAGTTCTATTTTCATTTTCTTTGTTTTGACGGAAAGGTGTAACATGAACCCTCTCTGCAAAAGTAAAGTCATAAGCATCACTGGATCCAACGGATGTATCTGCTTTTTCTTTTGAACATTGCCGTTTACCAGAGCTTCTATCTTTTTTGGTTCTTGTCCTGGATGAACTTTTCAATGTTTCCATTTTTCTCTTCTGAGTTTTCTCGTTCTGTGTTTTAGAACTTCCAGAACAATTCAAATTAGTTTGCTTTGAGGCAGTCGTCAAGGTATTTGAGTCAATTAATGTTTCTGACAGTTGCAAACCGGAATTGGTGTTTATGTTATGTTTGTTTTCTTGAGAAAGATCATTTTCTTCATATTGTTCATTATTTTCCCCTAAACCTGTCTCGGGTCCAGTTTTGTCTTGCTCACAAGGATTGTTTATCTGTTCACTTATTTCTGGAACATTGCCATCAGATAAACACAGGTCACTCTGGGGTTTGATCCTCAAATAACGACGGGTAGATACATTTCTTGATAGGGAATTACCAACATGCTGATCCTCTTCATTTGACAAAATATCTGTGCTGTCATTGTCTAGGAAATCTTCACAAGAACTTTGTTGCTGGCCTGGTAATTTAAAATATCATGCATCAATGCCAACTGATACTGAACCAAAAGAGGGCTAATTTGATAGTTCTATATCAAAATCAAGAAAGCAAAAAGCAGAATTCCAAAAACGTACATTTCCACAATGACTAATAAGAAGTACTACAGTAGCATGCAGTAATTTTGGAGACTGCAGCTATGATTCCTAAGAAATTGTAATGCATTTAATCCTGATTCAGAAAAGAAGAGGCACAATCTGCTAACTCACAGGACTATTTTGAACCTTGCTTGTCCCACTCATTCTGCCTATACAAGCACAGATGATGCATTAGGTCATTAGGAAAACAAAGACATCTGTTCTTCCAAACCCCGATCAATTTTTCCCTTCACTTCAATGGAAGATACTGTATTGAAGTACAAGTTAAACTAAACTCGGTGAGGCAGGAAGTACAAAACAGCTCTGAAGTTTTCTACTACAAACTGTATAGGCAAGAGAGGAAAAAATAAGGTTATATTATACTTATATAACTTTTCTGTATGAGCATGTACATCTGTGTGGGTAATTTACTTATATCATGTTCACCCATCTCATGCCTGAGAACTTCAAGGTGGCTAAATAGTGGTAGCAAGTATTATAAGTGTGGGGTGTTGGGGAATAGCTTTGTAGGTTTAGATTGTGAAGTTCTAGAACAAGCAAACAACTTACATTGTTGGAGAACAAAGAAAAAGCCACACAAATTATTATACATGGAGCTCAGTATTTGAGCCTCTGAAGGAAAATTGAAAGGGGAAGCATTATACAGTGTAAAGTATTTTTAAAGTGAGGAACATAATGAAGAATACCCCTTTGGAAGGGTAGAAAGATTAGGCATTCTGGAATTATCAACACTATCTCCAGACAGATACACCTTGTTTTCTTCTGTATACCTCATGATGTAATTATTGGCACCCAAAATACCCCAGCAATTGCTCGCAGCAGTGCAAGTTTTGGAGATGTCACAACTTCTCTGAGACATCCAGATAGTCACATTTTACTTATCAACAAGCTCTCGCACCTACTGGGACCAGTTTTCTTAAGTAAGTGTAGCAGATGACATATCAGGCAAAGTTGGTAAAACACACTCATAGGCAGTGCTACCACCTGTGCCTCCAGTAGTCACCAATGAGTCCAGGAACACCCTCAAACAATTAACTTTATTTTCTAAATACGAGCAGCAGCACTGGTTTTCCCTGGAAATTTTTATGGATAGAACCAGATTCACATGAAAAGCATGGAAACCCATTAATTCTGATATACCTGCCAACTACAGATTATACTTCATATATCTCATACAGTGGGATTCTGGTCTAAAAGGCTTATTGCTCCCAATGCAGCTGATCAGATCTGGATGGGAGGCAAATTGAAATAGGAAAGGAAATTCATAAATATTCCCAAGAATGCTTTTTAGTCTCATTTTTTCCTGTGATGAAATAAGAGCTGCAGATCGGGCGAGGAGGCCCTGAATCTCTAAGCTCCAGTAAAGTGTGCATTTTCCATCCTCCAGTGCTTCGGCCCTGCTTATCTCTAAACAGACAGGCAGAGAGAGGCTTGCACTGAAAGTTCTATGCAAATTTTAGCAGTTTAAACATAGGATAACATACCTGTATCTATCTGTGGTGTTATGGCTGAAGATGTATTTTCAACACCCTGCCAGGGTTCAGATAGAAAATCTGAATCATTGTTCTTGATGTTGCCCTGCATTTTAGCTCTCAACATATTATCCCGTTTAGTTACATCTAGAGCAAGGGCATGCATTGGTACTCTCCTAAGAGAAACAGATAGAATAGACTGGATTATTTTAAAACAGAATTTTTGGATACAGCACATTTTATACACATGCTCAAAATTAAGACTTCCTACTTTTTTCCAAATGTTGCTTCCTTAATTAAATTTGAGGTTCCCATCTACTTGAGGACCCTCAGAGGAGGAAGGAAGATGACTAAGGTTCTGAGGCACCTCCAGGATACCTCATAGTGTAGAGGTGCTGGTCTACTCCCTTTCCTGTCCAGAATGCCTCCTAAACCATGCCTCCACGCTTACTTTTGCAATAAAAGATATAGCTGGTGTGATCCTTTATTTTTCAAGGGCAGGGACAGAAGCTACTCCAGATTTGGAGACCCAGCTAAAAGGTTGGAACAATTTTCCAACCTAATAACCAGGTCTCCGAAACCTCCCATGGCTGTGTAGATGCTGTCTAGCAGCCAGAGAATAGTGTTGCACTTTTGGTTTAAAAAAAACAAAAGCAAACCTTCAACGGAATATGCCTTTAAAGGAATGAAATACAAAGCAGCTTAGAAGCTTCTTCTCAAAAATGCACTTGAGATCCTGTCTAACAGACATTAAAATAGCTTGTAAATGAATTTTCTGGATTATTTAGGGAGAAAGTATGGCTCTGGAGTAGGGATATGCAGTAGTTCATTGCATTCCACTAAATTAGTTTCATATCCATGGCAGCATTTTGATATTTGCATTGCCAAAACAATTGTTTGGTTGATCCATATTATTCTTATAATTCCATTTAAATATTGATAGACATGGAATTCTAAATAAGTTCTTCTAAACCTTTTACTCCATTTTTTAGATTCAACAGTTTGACAGTGCTGTAATGTCATATTTATCACACACAGATGATTACATTTAGTATAAATGTTCATCAAATATTTCTCATGATTAAAGAATAACACTACCAGAATGCAGCTTATTCGAGATGAGACCCTGATTTTTTTGGGCGGTGCGGTTGGAAGTTAAAAGTGAAGAAGAGCTATCAGTCCATATGTAAACCTATTGTTTTGCATTGGTGACCCACTAGGTTAATAGAAAACAACTTCCAGTCTACTTCAAATTACATTTATTATAATATAAGACGCATTTTCTTGATATAAGTTCCTTGATTTTATTTTGAGGAAAAGCAACTGCTTTTAAAAAATGTAAATGTATGACTTACAGAGAATCCTGGCTCCTGAAACTACTGGATGCACAGTTTGCAAAGTCTGAGGCAGACAGAAGCTGATTCTGTAGAAATAAAAGGTACTATGCTAAAGACCTTTTTGAATGGATCATGCATAATGCATCTAATGAAATCAAGAATATGAAAAGTAGAGCCATGACTTGCAGCAGCAACTTGTGAGGTGGTTCACTGGAAGATAACAAGCTTCTATTGCTCAGTGATGCCTCAGGGTGAAAAGGCACTTACTGGAAAGCACTGTGAAGAGGCAGCATGTGAGGTGCTAGCTTAGTGCTATGCAGGTGCACAACCGCTGAGTGCCTAGCATCTCCCACTGCACTGCAAGCCATTCAGCAGGCTCCATGTCTTCACTGCAACTTCACAACACCTTGTAAGAACAGTGGGTTTCCTCTCTGTTCGGTAATTACTCAGCAGCACAACCTATCGCTGATCTGTAATGCCACCATGGGACTAGTGACACATACCTTGTTGTTTTACTTTATCACCATATTCTGAAACCAGATTGAACACTTTGACATAGATAATGAAAGATGGGCAAAATATGTCCTACATCAGCATTCTCCAATCTACTACCCTCCTAATGTTTTAGACTACTGATATTCTTGACCATGCTGGCTAGGACTGATGGGAATTGATTCAAAATATCTAAGGGCATCACCTTGGGGAGGCTGATGAAAATGGTAAGAGAGACAGAAAGCAGGTACATAGGAAAGAATGGTGCTTTGCCCTGCTTGCAATCCAACAGTTGCTGTTGGTATTTTACTTAACAACAGAATATGTCACTATCAAAGCAGCTTAGCAGGCAACAAATCTATAAGCAAATATTTTTCATGGATTTAGAACTGATACCCAAAGTCTACAGACTATTGATGCTTATACAAAGAGAAGGATGGGAGAAGACTTACACAATCTGTGGTACGTGTATCTTTCGCAGGACTAAGAAGATTTGTTGCATTTAGGAGGTCTTGAACAACTTTAGAAATAATCTTCTTCAAAGCCACTAATGTAGTCTAGTCAAGAACAAAAAGTCATTGTTTGCAGTTGTACAAAGCAGATATACCTTCCAGTATCTTTTATAAAGTGGACTTGTCCATGCATAAACGCAAGCAAGAAATAGAAGTTGATGTTTCTTGTTCTCTGTAGAAAGCATCTGCTAACATTCACTTTGCCAGAGGGTCTTATTGTCTCCATCTAATAAAGTGCTACAACTGCTAGCTTCATCAATACCTCAAAGGATTACCCAAAAATATAACAATCAATATCCTTAACTTACTTCTTGCTATACTGAAAAAGCTATTGGGATGTGTGTTGATCTTGTAAGAATAATTTATGAAAAACAATATTCTGTGAGCTCCAAGATTTAAACCATAGATCAGTTAGAGCTTTAAGAACTCAATCTACTGATGAATCTAAAACCCTAGCCAATTTTATGCAGATTGAGGGAGAAAAGGATTTACTTTTTTATTCTTTTGAGGACACTATGTTTACCACAGAACCTACCTTCCAAGGTTCTATTCTAGAGTGTCTTACAGGAGACCATCCAGTAACCAGTCCTATTATGTGTGTATACAACCAAACTGGAAAAGACTAGATACAGTGCACCAGCTGTTACTACTATGACAACTCTACAAAGTTGCTTTATTTTTACAACCCCAAAATGATACAGTCTCCATTCCTGTTCTGTACTTTTCCTTAGCTAGGAATAGAACTGAAAGGATTTTTTATGATTCCTCACAAGAGATTTCAATTAGAATGCAATCACATATGAAGCTTTTCATGCAATGGAATTTTTACTAGAATATGCATACATGTAAAATACAAGCTGGAAGAAGTACCTCAGCATGTTCTTTTCCTTGTTGTGTCTCCAGCTTTCTTTGCAAGACAAACATCTGAAATTTCAAATGCTGATTTTCTTTCTTTATATGCAGGATAATATCTTGTGCTTCCCTCATTTTGCACTTTTCTTCTTCCAAAGCCACAGCTAATGCACGATTGTTTGTTTGAAAACTTTTCAGTAGTGCAGAAGTGTTGTCTGGAAGAACGTGTAAACATTTAATTTCTAAAATCTCTATTTCTTGGAAAACTTGAACAGAATATTAAAATATTACCTGCAATTTTACTCTTGATGGATATGGCTTGGCTTGTTTTACCCAGCTTGGCCCATTTGTGATTTCTCTTTTCTCTCATTCGTTCTTTTATATCTTCCAGGCTATCTTTAAATGACTTTTTCAAGCACCTTTCTCTAGCCATATTTCACCTTAAAAAAATACAAGAACTTATTATGATTTAGAATATGTTTATTTAAAGAATTTCCTTGATGTTGTCACTATGACAATGTTGGCTAAATTTTATAGTAACAGAATATTCCCTATTTTACCTTTATCACTGAAAAGTGTCACAAATTTCTCACACATGTCCAAAAGATAACTTTTGCTGTTATGATATTCATGTCACAAAAATGCTTATATAATTTGTGCATAATATACAACACATTTTATTCACATCTACTACTAAATCAAGTTAAAATTAATTAACACAGCAACCCAGTGGTTCCAGCAGCCTATAAGCACATTTGGATATAATGCAGCCTTGGTTTTGCAACAAAAGACAGAACACCAACTTTGAAGGGGGAGCTTCTAATGTGGATTCACCCTACTCCACAAAAGTTCTACAGTGGCTATCTTAGCAGAGAGCATGACACCAAATTTCAGGAAAAGGAACCAAGGAAACAATACCTGCTCCTGCTCCTAATTCTACTAGACAGACCCAGAAGTCCATCTATTGAAAAACACTGTAAAGAAGGATAAAAAGGTAAAAGCAGTTTCTGCTACTACTCCTGCCTACTGGGTGGGATAGCTAATACCCTGGAAGACAGAAAGATTCAAAGAGATCTTGACATGTTAGAACACTGGGCTGAAAACAACAGGATGAAATTCAGGAAGGGAAAATGCCAAGTTCTTCACCTAGGAAAAAGAAACCAAATGCATAGTTGCTAGATGAGGGATACTTGGTTCAACAATACCACAGCTGAAAAGGATCTTGGAATTATTGTAGATCACAAGCTAAATATGAGTCAACAATGTGATGTGACTGCAAAACAGGCATATGCTATTTTGGGCTGTATTAGCAGAAGTATCACTTCCAAAACATGTGAAGTACTAGTTCCCCTTCATTCAGTGCTACTCGGACCTCATCTGGAGTACTTCATCCTGTTCTGGAAACCACAGTTTAAGAAAGATGCAGACAAGCTGGAAAGGGTTCAGAGGAGGGCTGTAAGCATGATCTGAAGACTGGAAACAAAGCCCAGTGAGGAGAGATTGAGAGAACAGGGCATGTTCTGCCTCGAAAAGAGCAGACTGAGGCGTGATATGATAGCACTCAATAAATACTTGAAAGGCTGTCACAAAAAGGGTAAGACCTCTTCTCGACCACTGCAGACCGCAGGACCCAGAATAACGGCCTTAAGTTGCAAGGAACTTTCTGCAAAAATTTCCTGAGTATTTGAGCAATACAACAATGGAACCAAGCACCAAGGGAGGTTGTGGGGTCTCCCACACTAGAAGCATTCAAGATGCAACCGCCATCTCAAAGGGATGGGGTCATTTGAGGTCCAGGTGTCGGACCCGATGGCCTTCCAGGCCCCTTCCAACTCTACTATTCCGTCACTTTGTGATTCCGAGAGGAGGCAAAGGGCGCCCCTCCTGAGCCCCGCTCCGCGCGGAATGGAACTGGTTGTTTCCGCTCCCCTCAAAGATCCGCAAGGAACGGCGGACACCTCGTCGTTCCACAGGCCCTTCCGCCGCCTCCCACCCATCAGCCACCGGGAGACCCGCCCCAGCCGTTAGAAATTCAGCAGCAGCAGCCACGAACCCGGTTAAGCGCCCCTCAGGGGCGCGCGATCGATGCTCGTCGATCTCCGCCTCGGCTGCGCCGGCGCGGGGGAGAGCGCGGCACCGGGACGAGGCAAGAGCCGCCGGCTGGCGCCCTGTTTTTGTTTCCTCGGAGCGCGCGGCGCCCGCGGCCAGCGGCGCTTCCCGCCCGTTCGAAATTCTCCGCTGCGCGCCCCGATTGGCTGCCTGGGCCGCCCGAGACGCGCGGCGTGACGTCACCGCCCCCTCGGCGCGAGCGGCCACAGGCGCTCCTCCCGTCCTTGGCCTGCAGCGGAGAATCCCCTCCCGTTCCCTTGAACGCTTCCTTGGCTTTTGTCCCCTCTGGCGTCCCGTCCGCCCCCAGCCCTCACTCACGAAAGGTCGCGCCTCGCCGGCCTGTGCCTGGGATTGCAGCCTCAGTCGCGCGTGCGGAGGTGGGCGCACTCGTGCTGAATGCGGGTCGTTGGCAGAGCTGCGTCCCCTGTAGTCTCGTGGGATTTGCACCTTCTGAGCATTTCTAGTCCCTGTTGAAAAATATTTAGCGCGTGTCATTCTAAAATAAAAGAGGGTGCTAGTTAGGAAGGGGCTCTTCACGTTGCACATTTTTCTTTCAAGACCATTTATAAGACGGAAAAGCGATTTTTACGGAGGAGTCCTGTGCCCATTTAGAGAGGGGGAAGTCCTACAACTCCCAACATGCCACAGCCAGCCTTACAGTTTCAGGCATGCCGGGAATTGTAGGAAGTTTTTTGTTTCTTCGAACTTGCATAAGATTAGTTTAGTTTTTAGTTTATCCTGCAACACATTTCCAGTATCTGTTTCTGCAACATCACGAGCTAAGATCAAGCTGGAACTTTTGCTTGCAGTCTTCCCCAACCTGATGTGGTCCAACTCACCTGGAGGAAAACTCGTTGTAAACCGCCCAGAGGGCTTCGGCTGTGGGACGTTTTAGAAATTGAATACTAAAGAAAACAACTCTCAGGATAGAAGGCAGCAGCGTTGGATGCTCATTTGGAAGCGCATTAGTTTTACAGATATGGGATGGGGAGGAAGATTTCTGAGCTTTGAAGGGGACCTGTTTAGAGTTATATTTAATAATTCAAATTATTCTCTTCTATGGGGTTATGCTTCATTTTTTACAACTACAAGTGCCATATTTCAATTCTAAATAGCAATACAACTCTGCAAATAATTTAGATAGGTGTAATTTTGTCAATAAGAGTATGTCACTGTTACTGACATAGTACTTTTAGCTGTATTTTATTACAATGTAGCTTCTGAGTATGCTTCAAATTGCATCCTTAGTCTACACAGCACATGTTTTTTAACATACAAAATGTAGAACTCTAGAATATTTTGCTACCCCTGATAAGATTACAAAATGTGCACTTCCTAATTTCCATATTGTGAAACTAACGAATTAATAGGTTTTTAAATCAAGAATATCCATTTTCAGTTCAATCTTGCTAATTTCTCCACGGTGGCTTGGGTTCATTGAAGTCTCATCTGCCTAAAAGTTAGCCTGAACACCTCTGATGTGTGATAAGAAAAAAAATCCATATATCTGGAAGATACAATGTTACTTATATGAACCATGAAATCTTTTATTTGTATGGTGAGAAATGAGAGGCTTTTACACAGGGTTATTTCCAGTTGTGTCCTTTTACCAGTAAAATGAAACTGTTGGAACAAATTTTCCTTTCCCACCTGAAGCCCCTTCACTGACCCTAATATCTGCTGCAAAGTATTGAGAGATCCTCTGAAGCATATTTGAGAAATAGTGGGAGTTAGAGGGGTACACGGAATGGATTAAGTGGAAGTCTGCTAACATAACCTTAATTTGTTCCAGATTTTGAAGGGTAAAGGTGGTTTGTTGCAAAAACAACAGAGTATCTTTGGGTGGGCAAACACATAAGTAAAACTGAGTATAAATAACTGCTGTGGTACAGGTTTACTAACAGTGCTTTAGCAAGTCACTATTGTCATTTGGAACATTATATGACAGAAAAGTTGGGGCAAACTGATATGTCTGGGGGAGACCTGTTCCAGTAAGGTCTTTTGTCTGTGGCAAGCCAACACACTCTTCTTGACTTGCATGTGTGTTCGTAGCTATTGGACTGGGTTTTCCTATGATGATTGACCAACATTCTTTTCAGCCTAATTGTACTGTTTCTAGCATTAAGCAAACATCTGTTGGGTATGGGAGGGAGATGAAACAGTAGGTAAATAACTCCATGAGGAAAAAAAAAAGATGCTGGACTTCAGTCTCTGTGTGAAAGCAGGCTTTTATTTGACACTGAAATCCTAAGCATATTTACTCAGACAAGTCCTACTGGGTTGTTTTTCTAATTGAAGAAATTCCACAGAGGAATGTGTCCCCCCCCCTTTTTTTTTCTCTCCTTGTGCGTTCATACTGGTGATCTGTAAACAGAAAAAGAATGTTAGTGATACAGGACACGTTTATCATTTGGAGATGTGGAGCAAATTTATGGTGCATTTCTTCTGAAAGCATGAAAATATAAATATTACACTGTTCCAAAGGCATGGTCCCTGCTATAACTTACAGGCCAGGACACAATGGACCAGCCAGATCATACATTATGGTGGAAATTGTGGGCTAATTTGCAGGAATGCACACTAAACTCACTGGTCTGGGTTCAGACATCATATTCACAGCCTTGCTGGAGATTGTTTACAAAAAGAGGAACAAGGTGGCCCATAGGTGGCCCATGTTCCTGCAGATCACCAGTTCAAGAATCCATGATCTGATGCTAGATGTTGCTTTGGGTCTCGGCTGAAAACTGCAGGCTTTGGTCTCTGACCATGGAAGTATAGGCCGGAGGTGGCCAGGCTTGTTCAATGAGAGAGCCACTTAAGGTAATGTCAGATGTTTGAGAGCTGCAAGACCTGAAAAAATATTTATGTATTTATTATGACCTAGCAGACATTGCTACAATTATCAGGCTAGTTACTGCTAGTAGAGATCTGGTAAGTCTCTATCTTGGCTTGTTGAAAATCTGAGAAAATCGCTCGCCTAATTGATTAGCATGTATATCAGCTACTGCAACCCTACTTACCTAAGCTCCAAGAAACACAGTAGGACTTACTGCTGAATAAACTTCTGTTGGAGCACGTCTGTGCCTTCAAGCCAAAATGAATAAAAGCTTTATGGAGCGGGACTTTTCTGCTTCCTTTGTAGCTCTGGACATTGGAGGAACCTGAGTGGTCATGCAGTACCCCCTTAGGAACTTCGGTGCTTGGGCAGCAGAAGTGCCTGGAAATCTCACCATCAGCTACCACACCAGAAGCTTCGTCGAGGCCCCAATTCTCCCCTGGAGAGCAGCTGGGCTCACTTAGGAAGCAGCCTGATTTTGCCCTCCAGCCTTGGCCACAATTCTGCACCTTGTCTGACAAGTCCTGTCCTGTCCTGTCCCTTCCCCACTCCATGCCAGGGGCAAGCAGGGACCTACTAGGTTTTTTAGTCTTCTGCGAGCTTCAAAGAGCCACATGCTGCTCACAAGCCTTGGTTTGGCCTTGCTTAGCGTAGTGCTTATATTTAACATGTTCAGCTTGACAGATAATGTTTTCTAGAAGGCCTTGGGAAAGATGGATGAAGGACTGACATGCCAGTGTCCTATTTTGAGAAAGATGCACCTTATCAAACCTACAAATTAGCTTATATGTTGTTGTGTGCTTATCTTAATTAGCTTATTATTACTACAGTCTATTATTGTGGTTCATGAGGGGTGGGAATATTTGGACTGGCCCGGCTAGGAAACCTCCACTGTTACATCCTGAGACATACTAATGAGATGGGAAACTAATGTGCTATGGAATCCAGTGTCCTGCCTAATCTTGGAAGCTAAGCAGGGCCAGGCCTGGTCAGAATGGGATGGATGACTTGAGTGTATGATTCTATGATTATTGCTGTAAACTGCCCAGAGAGCCTTGGCTATGGGCAGTGAAAAAATGTGGTGGTGGTGGTGGTGGTGGTGATGCTTGCTAGCAAGTAAACAAGTAGTTTCACACCACTTAGTCACTGCACCTTTATAACAGCGAGCTCCTTTCCCTATAGAAGCTGATCTATATAAGTCGTCTATATAAGCTGGCCATTTCCGCTTGTGTTGTGTTTGGACTCCAAACATCCTCCAGGGGGCTTTGCTGACTGTCCATTCCAGCTGATTGAAACCTGCCTGGCAGGTGAATCCATGCTCAGCATTGCAGTGACTTGCTGCTAAACCCTTTGAAAAGCTTGCTTGCATTTTGCTTGTTGTAACAGTAAAATCTCCTTATAAACAAACCTGGACTTAGCATACCACTTCCTTGGGATCACTCAAACTTTTCGCCCACAGCCAGGGCAAGACAGATGTGTGAACTGAGTACAGTCTTAACTATCTCATACCTGTAAGCGGGAGAACTGCCCATTGTTCTAGAAACACTTGGAGAAAAGGAGTAAGGCATGTTGTTTTAATTCAGTAAAAAGCTGCCCTGCATAACAAACATTTGGGAAATACTGTAAGAAGAATACCTGGACTTGAGGATGCAGTTTGTTTTGGGATGGAGCTAATGCAGGGATGTGTCCCAAAATCAGCATAAGGGCTGCATTTTGAGGATGCTCTTGGGGCCTGCATTCCGGTGGTGGGTGGGACTGAAGGCAAGCCAGCAAGGCCAAAGACAAGAGCCAAAAATGTAAAGAAAGAATGCCAGCAAATTGTGGCTTAAAGCTCTTAACTGCCAGTAACAACCTTAGGAATGGTATCTGGCATAGATTAAGAGTCTGTATCTGTTGTGTAGACATTATCTCAGACTGGTCAGCAATTCTCAGCCTTTTTATTCCACTCAGTATAAAAATGAGAACAGTGCACTTCACATCATTGTTGAAAGCATGAACAAAAGATGGTAAAGCACTGCTTTGAGATTGAAGGTAAAAGAAATTATAAACAGTAATAATATCATGAGAAGAACAAATCTTGTTCTTAGAATGTCTGCCAACCTCAGCCTATGTGGCTGTGTATCAACTGCAGTAGCCTCATGAAATATATTGTCTTGCCTGAATTTCATGTTGGT